AGAGTAGTTAACAAACGGAATACATTAGGCAGTGATGTGGTGGAGGCAGACTCCATACACAGCTCCCAATACAGATATGATAGAGCCCAATAGACTCAGGAACCCGTACACCAGTTAACTGACAATTGAGAGGCGGGACCAAAGAACCGAAGCTCAACCCCCTCCAACCACAGTTGAGTACCCAAGAGAATATAGACACTTCGATGACTCTAATATAGGAAACATGAGGAATTTTCGAGTAACTGTATGAAAATAGCAAGAGTCGTGGTCAATACATTATACAACCGTCAATACATTATACAGCAGAACTAGAGAAGCCTTGTGAAGCCAGCAGGGGGAAATAATATCCCTGAACATCAAGCCACCTGACGATTACCTGTGCCTTTGTCAGACTGGGAATGTAGATCCGGGAAACGTCCAGCTATCTGTGACTCTTTGGCGTGATCCAGACGACTGGAACCTTAAAGGGACAGTGATCCCCGCAGCTTTTTCAGAGAGGTAAAGCGAGCAATTGAAAGTTGAGTGGGGCAGTGTGTTCTGTAGCGACGATCTGAGTGGGGGTGTAGTGTGTTTCGTGGCGGTGTATTTACACATGTGAACTGAGGTGCTTCTGTTTACACATCTATCAGGAACTTTTATGGGGTGAAGTATTTACAAGGATCTGTGGGAGGTATGGTGTATTTTGTGGCAGTGTAAGCAGGTGATAAACACCTGACAGAGAGGTATGTTGTATTTTGTAGCTAGTGTATTTTGTAGCTAGGAACCTGAGGGCTGAGAATAGGATACCAGTTCCGGACCCCTGGGAGATGAGAAGGGCAGCGGGGTCTCCTAGATGGATGCGTTTAATGGGTCAAGCATCAGTTGTCTTTGAAGCCAGTCACTCGTCAACGTAATCCCTCCCTTTCCACGTTTTCTTTGCCATCTTTCCTTATTTAACTGTTTATTAACGTTGTTTCTATGGTCTCTTCTACTAATTCATTTGATTTGATTACGTCTGTCACAGTAAAGACAATTTGACTAATATTATCCGATTGATTCCTGTCGCTAATTCGAGTTTTTCTCACTTTAAGCATAGCATCATTAGCCATTCAAGGCTCTTACGAGAGCAGAGTGGTATATAACTGACTAATGTAATGGAAACTGGAACCTCCACAAGAAGATAATAGTGTGAAGATCTTTGGAGCAAGACGGGGGGATCGAACTAGCGTCCTAGGGAACCCCCGTCGCACGCATGAACCCATGGATCATTATATGGTAAAGGTTTCACAACTTGGGTTCCACCCGGATCCACTGAGAATTCGGAGCCACCGAGCTGGTGATTAATCCAAGCTTTCGCGTCATTCACTTTCACTCTGGTGTAAATAATTGTCATGCCAAAACCTACTGTCAAGCACACACGTTTTTGATATTTTTTTTTTAAGACAATGTGGAATCCACACGAAACTCTTACGGCTTCGACACAAAGTTTGTTGTGTTTCAGCACGTCCGTCAAACAAAGACCCAAAAGTGATTCCATGCACCCGCCAAACCCCCTGTTTATGAATGAAAAACGGTTTACACACGACTCACAACTGATTTCGGTCGAACACTTCCGGAACAAGTGCTTCACTGATGACTTTTTTTCGAACCACAGCGCTGTAAATGCAGCCCGTCCTCCAAACAAAGATACAAAAGTGATTCCATGCACCCGCCAAACCCCCTGTTTATGAATGAAAAGCGGTTTACACACGACTCACAACTGCTGACGTTCGAACACTTCCGGAACAAGTGTTTCACTGAGGAATTTTGTTCGAATCACAACGCTATAAATGCTTCACCCACGTACTACAAATACAAATAATCGCCAACAGAACCTAAACACCTAACCTATGCCTATATATGCACAAAATGCTAATATTATATAATATTAATTTATATTTGAGAAAATTCCTGGTTTGAATGAACAGCGTGTTAAAATTTATGAATGCGTCTGTGGGGTCGACCGCTGGATGGAATGGACTTGAGTCGGGGACGGGTTGTGTGTTTACATAATGCTAATTTACATAACTCGAGGGAGCAAAGGCTTCATTTGGACACATTTAGAAGGCATTCAAAATGTAAACATTCAAATGATTATAAAATAGTGAAGGCTGTTTGATGAGGTGTTGAGCTTTCACCAGTATAAATTGATGAGTCAACACAGCTGTATCATCAAAAGGTACGAACTGTTTGGCTTTTATGGAGAAAGTTAGACCTCGAATTCAATAACAAACTCTCTCCTTTACAACTCGCAATTCACAAACTTTACTTAACCAAAGTAACTTCGCTTTGCGCTCACTATGAAATTTTTAGTTACTTCATGCAGAAATAAATGAAACATAACCTGAAAATTTGAAATAAAAATAGCTTGACTCCGGCTTGACCCCAAGAAATACAACGCATTTTATATGAACATTAAGACAAGCAATTAAGAAATGTAATACATTCACAAACTCTGCCTAAAGTGATCACGAAACTGTTGTATATCTACAAATTCAATACAATTAATTATTAATAATAGCAATAATAATTATATAATATTGAAAGTCTTTAAACAGCGATGCTGGGAGCCTAACACTGTTTTGTCATGTCATATGACTCACTATTCGGTTAAAGGACTCACTATTCGGTCATATTACTCACTATTCAGTCACAGGATTAGCTTTTTGTTCACCGAACTCACCTTTCGTTTTCAGGACTCACTATTTGTTGACAGGACTCACTATTTGTTGACAGGACTCTCCATTCGTTCAAAGGACTTGCCATTCGGCAGTAGGACTATTATTCTTTCGAAGGATGTGAGTTTCTTGTTCAAAGGATGTGCTATTGTGACGAAGAACATGTCATTCTGACCAAGGACATGTCATTCTGAACAAGAACATGTCATTCTGAACAAGAACATGTCATTCTGAACAAGAACATGTCATTCTGACCAAGAACATGTCATTCTGAACAAGGACATGTCATTCTGAACAAGAACATGTCATTCAGACCAAAGACATGTCATTAGGCTATATATATTTTTAAACGTTATATTATTATATATCTCACACATATAATTTTGTTTTACGTATCCGTGCCACTAATAAAGACCAATTATCTGTGTACCTACGAGTGAAAGGTAATAAATTAAGCAATGGGGACCATCTTGCAAATTGCGTTGCATTATGAGGGACGCGGCACACCAGCATCCCTCATGTTGCACTCACACACACATCTGTTGCACTCATCACAGTCCTGCAACACTGCCAGATGTCTGCCCTGGGGATTAGAGGAGCATGGCGTCTGCCATCTAAAGGTTTCTGTCAGCTGTTCCACGTTTAGCAGTCTTCGTGGTGTAGTGGTAAGACACTCGCCTGGCGTTCCGCGAGCGCTATGTCATGGGTTCGTATCCTGGCCGGGGAGGATTTACTGGGCGCAATTCCTTAACTGTAGCCTCTGTTTAACGCAACAGTAAAATGTGTACTTGGATGAAAAAACGATTCTTTGCGGCCGGGGATCGTATTCCAGGGACCATAGGATTAAGGACTTGCCCGAAACGCTACGCGTACTAGTGGCTGTACAAGAATGTAACAACTCTTGTATATATCTCAAAAAAAAAAATTAGAGAGACAAAACTGTGCTTATAAAGCAAAATTTCCAAAGGTTCTTATTTAATATCTCACGTTTCAGTGGAAGAAAACCCTTTTCACCTCGCCTCGACCAATCTGCTGAACCCCAATATATATCCGGGGTCTCCAGTCCAACTGAAATTGTTTATGTGAAAATAATAGTCAAATCCAGAATTTCTCGTAACAAAAATAGTCTCTATTTTCGTTCTAAATTTCAAAACATCGTGATAACTTTTGTCGTTCGGTAGATGTTTTTGTTCATGATCACATTACTGACCGGATCTATATTGGTTGCAGATTGTATTATTAAGTAGTGTTCGATTTTCGAACATATTCAATTTGTTAAAACCATTTCCAGTGCCCATTCAAAGGGAAAGAGAACTCGATGGTGAAAAATAAATTATTCCAGACAAAAAATATATATATGATGATTTTCATTGTAATAATGGTACCATGGAAATGTCTACAATAGTTTGTGTGAACACGCGCACACACACACACACACACACACACACACACACACACACACACACACACACACACACACACACACACACACACACACACACACACACACACACACACACACACACACACACACACACACACTCCATACACAGTTTTAAATGTAGATATAATAGAGCCCAGTAGGCTCAGGAACCTGTACACCAGTTGATTGACAGTTGAGAGGCGGGCCCAAAGAGCCATAGCTCAACCCCCCCCCCCCCACAAGCACAACCAGATGAGTACAACTAGGTAAATAAGCTTTATCAAATAAAGTACCTAGTAAGTACACTAGGGACTTTATCAAAGTCATGAGGACTCAGAAGAAATAAAGTATACATAGATTCCATTCCGAAACAGAACTAAGGAACAAGACGGGCTCACCATAGACCGTGCTACTTCGAACTTTTTGTTCTAGGTAGCGAATCTTAAACAACAACTAAGGAATAAGATGATGGAATACAGAGAACATAAATGTTTAAACTGAGACTGTAGATACAATACAGAAAAAGAGGCATAAGGCCTATTGGCCTGTTACGAAGCAGCGACTATTTATATCCAGCCAAATTCATTAATATATATATATATATATATATATATATATATATATATATATATATATATATATATATATATATATATATATATATATATATATATATATATCAAGTGATCCCGCATCTATTATCTTACTCTGTAATTTGGGCCATAGATCGATCACCCATTTTCCTAATCAGTCATTTTTCCAGGAATTATCCGAATCTCAACTTATCCACTTAATATCCATAAGTAATTTGAAAGTGCGCTGCAGGGGGAGTGTTCATTCATAGTGTGTTGCAGGTGCTAAACATTCTTGATGTGTTGCAGGGGCTGTACACCCGACATCTGAAGACGGTGGTTGGGAGTTTGGTGTTGGCTACTCTGCTCACTCTACTTCTCTACACAACCCCCAACACCACCTCCTTCATACTCTCCACCACCACCACCAGCCTCAGGTGAGTCCCCTCCAGCGTGAAACCCCACCCACCACCACCACAACCACCCACCACCACCACAACCACCCAATACCACCACACACAAGGGGAACAATACTCCCCATATACAGGAAAGTAGCAGATGATAATATTAGGTTCCAATGAGAGGGATCTCAAGTATGTGGCCCTTCTGCTTTGAAGAGTAAACAGTGATTGGCTATCAGGGCGAATTATCGTGGTCTGATAGTTTCGCTATCTTGTTTATAACCCTTTATTTTGACTATTCTTTCTTATTTTATATATTTTTATATGTACATTTGGATAATTCAGTCAAATAACGTTTCACAGCATGAGAGAGAGAGAGAGAGAGAGAGAGAGAGAGAGAGAGAGAGAGAGAGAGAGAGAGAGAGAGAGAGAGAGAGAGAGAGAGAGAGAGAGAGAGAGAGACAGAGAGAGAGAGAGAGAGACAGACAGACAGACAGACAGACAGAGACAGAGATTAAGAAAATGTAACCTCAATGCTTAGCCTATCCTTTTAATCCCAATACTGGGGGGGGGGAGGGAGAGTACCTTTGTAAACCAACATTGGTATGTATACAGCTACTATAGCTCTGTTGTATACATTTATACATCACTATTTTGGCTTCAGGACTATTTTTTTACTATTTCTTTCGGATTAATTATTCACACGAATTTAGTAATATTCACATTGTGATATTTTGTGTTACAAGTTTGTTTTGTTTTTCTCTTTCGATTCAATTGTTGTGATCAGCCGCACCCTACCACACTACCATGGCTGTTGATCTTCAAACACTAAGAAGGTTAGGTTAGGTCGTGGTTTTCTATTCAGCTTTCCAGGGGAAACTCAAGTATTCACAATATATTTGACAGTACGGTTTAATACTAAGTGAAAATAAGTACAATTCCTGACTGCTAGGAATAGTACATAATTACACTTGTGCTGTTACATTACCTCCCCATTTTTGGAGGACGGGCTGGATAATTCGATGGCTGTTATCTATCACACTTTCGCGACTGTTATCTACTACACTCTGCCTGAGCTACTACTCACATAGTTGTTATCAACCACACCCTCCCCCATTGTAATGTATGATATATAAATTCTGATATATGGTATATATGTATGATATATTAATAGACAGTGTAACCTCTCAGATATTTACCTCAATTTACCTGAGGCCATCTTTTGTGGCCTTGACAGGGACAGGAAGCCGACAGCCTGTCATAGGTCTCCCCCCCGTCCCCATCTACTAGTAGCTAGCCAAAGCCTAGCAGTACTATTGTCTAGAAATCTACTAATCTTATAGGATATTCCATAGATATGTGGCATTTCACACATGGTAGTGTGAAGATAGATGAACTAACCATTAGCTACCCACTTGGGTTGGACGGTAGAGCGACGGTCTCGCTTCATGCAGGTCGGCGTTTAATCCCCAACCTTCCAAGTGGTTGGGCACCATTCCTTCCCCCCGTCCCATCCCAAAACCTTATCCTGGTCCCTTTCCCAGCGCTATATAGTCGTAATGGCTTCTAGCTTTCCCCCCTGATAGTTCCCTTTCCGTTCTCCGGCATAGTAGCATGATGATATAACGATAGATCTGGGGACAGGTAGTTAAGGATATCATTTGTGTTTCGACAGTTTGAGTGTGTTGGGAGGAGAGGACCAGCCCAAGTGTTCACCACACACCCATATCATGTTTCTCAAGACTCACAAGTGTGCCTCTACCACCGTCCAGGTCTGTATACTCTTAGTATACTGTGTATATCTTCATATGTCCGCCACGTTCCTTGGGCCAGATTCACGAAAGTACTTACGCAAGCACTTACGAACGTGTACATCTTTCCACAATCTTTGACGGCTTTGGTTACATTTATTAAACAGTTTACAAGCGTGAAAACTTCCCAATCAACTGTTGTTATTGTTATAAACAGCCTCCTGGTGCTTCGGAGCTCATTAACTGTTTAATAATTGCAAACAAAGCCGCCAAAGATTGAGAAAAGATGCACAGGTTCGTAAGTGCATGCGTAAGTGCTTTCGTGAATCTGGCCCCTTGTCTGTAAACCCAGAGTATGGTGTGTATACTCCATGCTTCCACCACTGTATATGTCTGTATATCCACTGGGTAGAGTGTAAACTATTTTACATACTCTTATGTTTGATTATTTATTGTACAATATTAATTAATCGTAATAGCATAGTGGGCATATAACCAATCACATACCAGCTTCATGGGTAGTCTCAGAACTAACCAATAAAACACCAGCTTCATGTTTAGTCTCAAAATTGGCCAATCACAGGTTGATGGGTAATCTCAAAACTGACCAATCACTCACCAGCAAATTTATTTCAAGATTAGATGGCAGAAGCCACAAGGAAGCAATTGTGTCAGTGCTCTTTAACTCTATAATCATTAACGTAAAGCTGGAGAGTCGATGGATGGGGTGAACCTATTGATAGAGCCCAGGAGCTTAAGCACATCTTCCTAATATTTTATATATCAATATTGAAAATTAATGTTTCGACTAGATCATTTTCTTCAAGAAGTGCCGGACCAACTTTGCTGTGGTGGATATGTGGGCTTACGGGCCGCTCCAAGCAACAGCCTGTTGTACCAAGTTCTCACAAGTCGAGCCTGGCCTCGGGCCGGGCTTGGGGAGTAGAAGAACTCCCAGAACCCCCTTGAGCAGGTATCAAGCAATATTCCAAGGCAACCATGCAATGCTGCACTCCATAGATCTTTCCATTGCAACCCAACTGAGCCCGAATATTGCAATCCACCAGAACATTTTCCAGATCAACAATCTTTACCATTCCAATGCTTCCCTCGTTCACAGCGTTCTCGCTGGTCCGTGTGTTTCCTCAACTGTATTTTGAATGTCGTCCAGATTTTTACAAGTAAGTTAAATTTTGCCACCAAAGAGCAGCGTCACTCATCCTGTGAGTGAACATGCCGCCATAGTGACAGTATTGGGTAGCGCCACTCATCCTGTGAGTGGACACACCGCCATAGTGACAGTATTGGGCAGCGTCACTCATCCTGTGAGTGGACACACCGCCATAGTGACAGTATTGGGCAGCGTCACTCATCCTGTGAGTGAACACACTCCCATAGTGACAGTGTTGGGCATCGCCACTCATCCTGTGAGTGAACACACCGCCATAGTGACAGTATTGGGCAGCGTCACTCATCCTGTGAGTGGACATGCCGCCAGAGTGACAGTATGGGGCAGCGTCACTCATCCTGTGAGTGGGCACACCGCCATAGTGACAGTATTGGGCAGCGTCACTCCTCCTGTGAGTGAACACACCGCCATAGTGACAGTATTGGGCAGCGTCACTCCTCCTGTGAGTGGACACACCGCCATAGTGACAGTATTGGGCAGCGTCTCTCATCCTGTGAGTGAACATGCCGCCAGAGTGACAGTATGGGGCAGCGTCACTCATCCTGTGAGTGGGCACACCGCCATAGTGACAGTATTGGGCAGCGTCACTCCTCCTGTGAGTGAACACACCGCCATAGTGACAGTATTGGGCAGCGTCACTCCTCCTGTGAGTAAACACACCGCCATAGTGACAGTATTGGGCAGCGTCACTCATCCTGTGAGTGGACACACCGCCATAGTGACAGTATTGGGCAGCGTCACTCCTCCTGTGAGTGAACACACCGCCATAGTGACAGTATTGGGTAGCGCCACTCATCCTGTGAGTGGACACACCGCCATAGTGACAGTATTGGCCAGCGTCACTCATCCTGTGAGTGGACACACCGCCATAGTGACAGTATGGGGCAGCGTCACTCATCCTGTGAGTGAACATGCCGCCAGAGTGACAGTATGGGGCAGCGTCACTCATCCTGTGAGTGGACACACCGCCATAGTGACGGTATTGGGCAGCGTCACTCATCCTGTGAGTGAACACACTACCATAGTGACAGTATTGGGCTGCGCCACTCATCCTGTGAGTGAACACACCGCCATAGTGACAGTATTGGGTAGCGCCACTCATCCTGTGAGTGGACACACCGCCATAGTGACAGTATTGGGCAGCACCACTCATCCTGTGAGTGAACGCACCGCCATAGTGACAGTATAGAGCAGCGTCACTCATCCTATGAGTGAACACACCGCCATAGTGACAGTATTGGGCAGCGCCACTCATCCTGTGAGTGGACACACCACCATAGTGACAGTATTGGGCAGCACCACTCATCCTATGAGTGAACATACCGCCATAGCGACAGTATTGGGCAGTGGCACTCGTCCTGTGAGTAAACACACCGCCATAGCAGCACGTACAAAACTCCCCAATAGGAAGAAAACCCGCTGGATTGTTCATCCTGTCACTTGTACCCAGATGCAGGTGGGACTTACTTATCTGTCTCAAGTGAAAAACTTATCAAACAAGAAGATTAGTATTTACCATCCCATAAATTTACGTTATCTTGCAGCTGTAAATCAGGGGAAATCTTTTAAGAAGAGTACTCACCTAGTTTTACTTCCCTAGTTGTGCTTGTAGGGATTGAAATTAGGCTATTTGGTCCCGCCTCTCAATTGTCAATCAACTGATGTACAGATTCTTGAGTCTATTGAGCTCTATCAAAACTACATGTGAAACTGTGTATGGAGTTTGCCTCTGCCACATCACTGCCCAATACATTCCATTTGTTAACTACCCTGACACTGATATATTTTTAATATGCTTTACTTTAGAAAAGAGTGTATACATATATGACAATGTTTTCCTGACTCAAACCATGTAAGATTTATTATTATTCTCATATTTCTAATGTATAATAATAATAATAATATTTTATTTAGGAAAAGTACATACATAGATGCAGTCACAAACATTCTGATTGATTTATAGATACAGCTAGTACATACAATACCTAAAGCCACTAGTACGCATAGCGTTTCGGGCAAAGGTGTCTCTTAGGTGGATTCAGCCTCTTAAGTTAAAGTCGTTTTGCACTCCACCTCCCAGGGAATTTGATTTTGAGTTACCTACCAATTTCTTTGCAGAATATCTTCCTGAGGTACGGATACACACATAACCTAACCTTTGCTCTGCCTGCCGCAGACAACTACCTCGGCAACCCAGAAACCTTCAAAGTAAGTTACTTTTCACCTTCTCATTTACACTCCAAATGTAAGATAAATTAACTCATATTTTGTTAAGATGAACAATATTTAATCATACGTACAAAACACATATTAGAAGCTCATTTGTTTTAAATTAACTATGAGTTAATTCATCATACATTTTGCGTGCACATAGTAGTCATGCGAGGCTTCGTAATGAAGGTAATGTAGTACACAATTTCTCCTGTCTCAGTGACCTGGAATTATCGAGTCACTAACTCACTCTGTGATAGATTAGACTAACCTTAAGAATATCGTAAAAGGAGATATGACCAAAATCTAAATTCACCATCAAATTCAAAATGTGTCCTCCTGCATTCCAGGTAGACACACCCGGAATGCAGCCCCGTTCTCATTGATTTGCCACACCTAATGAGTATTCAACATTTACAGGTGAACATGATTCCTAAGAAGCTGATGCCTCTTAAGAAGAAAGTGGACGTGTTCGCCCTTCACACCCGCCTTAACCCGCGGGAACACACTCGGATCCTCCACAACGACACTCGTTGGATCACTATCGTGCGGGATCCCTCTGCTCTCTACGAAAGCCTATTCAACTTTTTCCACATGGACAATGGTTATGGTTTTCAGCTATCAGAGTTCAGCACAAGACCTCTGTCGGTAAGTAAGAAACAAATTCAGGCTAACTGAATGTTGTCATACCTTTCTAACCTGTTCCATTCATCTTGAATCTTCATGTTGAATCATTCCAGCATTCAAGTTTAAGTATGTTTATTGAGACAAGAAAAAAATACATCTCAAAGGGATAGAGTAGCTTAGGCTATTTCTACCAGCTTAGGCTTTCCAGCATGTCTTTGTCCTGTACATTATTCCTCTTTCTGTGTCTATGCCGTTGTAAAATGTTGCTTTACAGTCACTCCATAGCCCCCATGGCTTAAATTTTGCTTTAAATTCACATCTATATATAAACTATTCCCTATTTCTTATATCTTCCTCAAGGCAGGCTTGTATATATCAAGATGTGCCCGTCTCAACGATTGTACAATGAGTTGCCCTTCTCAGTATACATACGTATAAGTACTATTAGCTATATATATACACCGAGACTTACCATTTTTGCGTATATAAATTAATTAAGATTTATTCTTGATCTTAAGCTCAGTTTTGTAGTTAAGTACATAGAATTTAATTAGGAATTTTATGGGAAAAAATGAAAATCATTACAAATAACAGTCCTTGGTAAAATATGCTGTAAAACAACACTCAACTAACAAAGCTGTCTTAAATATGTTTCGATACACAACTTGTCTCACTAACCTGAAATTATCGAGTTCCTAACTCTGTGATAGATTAGAATACCCTTAAGAATATCGAAGAAGAAGGAGGAGAGGAGATATGACCAAAATCTAAATTCACCATCAAATTCAAAATTTAATCTAGATATAAAATCTTGCTAGAAATATGATAAATGAATATTATTTATTAAAGCATTTAGAGCAATATTTAGCCCTTAAACTGATCCAATAGTCTATCTGCTATTTCATATGTGATTTCTTATCTTGTGATTTCTATCTTGTGTTGCAATTGTCATATGTGATTTCACCATTTGATTTGTTAACTATGAGGTGCACCCCGCGACAGTACGTTTAAATTGCGCTGTTTAGGGGTTAAAGAGATATGGCCAGAAACAAATATGAGAATCAAACTACTCATTAGTTGAGATTAGAGTGCAGTTCAACTTTCACACATAAAAATGCTCCCAAACTTGCAGCTCGTTTGCCTATTATTATTTTCCAAACTTCAAACTCCATCACTAGCTTAATTTATTAATAGAACCACCCTTCCCGAGTACTAATTTCGTATAATTATTATCAAACTTTAATGTAATTTCTACAAGGTGATTACTATAAAAATATACACCTTCTCTAAGTTATAATCTGAGATATATTGACCTTATAAGAACAACCAATTCATTAGTCTTAAGACTTGCCTAAAATGCTGTACGCACTTAGTAAAACTTACTGAACTGTATGACCTTTATCCTTATAAATTTTATTGAGCAGCTGTCCACTGTGATGATGCTGTTGTATTGTATGCGGTTGGCTCAGTCGGCTCACAACCTTATGGTCCTGGGTTCGATTCCCGGGCTGGGTGAGATGTTTGGGTACTTTCTTTTACACGTGATGTCTTCTTTCACCCGACAGTAAATAGGTAACCTGGTGTTAGGCGACTGTTGTAGGTTGTATCCTGGGGAACAATCCAAATTATATGTTGTTTTGAACCTGCCTGAAATGTAGGCCATAGATGGAAACCAGAAGTACAAAAGTGCCAGAAATGGCAGAAAGAATTTCCGGGCTAGATGGAGATGGAATGGAACTATCAGGGGGAAAGCGCCAAGCCAATACGACTATATAGCACTGGGAAGGGGTCAGGACAAGGATTTGGGATGGGACGGCTGTTGAGAGGCTTGAGTTCACTGACCACTGTGACCTTGCATTAACATTTTGTTTTGCTTTTCAGATTAGTTATTACAGTTTATTGTATTTAACACGCACACACACGATAGAGAACAAAAATAGGTAGGGAATCAGTGTATTAGACAGCTGACGGTTAGAAAGGCGGGGTCCAAGAACTAACAGCTCGATCCTGCAGGCACAAATATTAAACACAAATAGTAGATACACAAACATGAAAGCTGGCATTCGATGAAATAAACATTGATTTTATATTTTCAGGAGCTGGCATCTCTTCCAAGATATGGCGGGAAATTTGGCAAGAACCAGATGCTTTTTGACTTTGGATATTTAGATGATTTGTCAGTGACTGAATTAAGACGTGCTATTGAGGAACTGGATAAGCGTTTTGACTTAGTGATGATTTCTGAATACATGGACGAATCCCTTGTACTACTGAGGCACCTCTTGTGCTGGAGTCCTCACGACACTGTAGTCTTTGCCAAAAACGCCCGTCGGCAGGAAGTTAAACCCACGTTGAGCCCTGCAACACAACAGGCACTCCGGGAACTAAACAGTGCTGATGTGTTGCTTTATAATCATTTTCTGGCCAGGCACCGCCATGCTGTCTTTGAGTTCGGAGTTCAACGCATGGCAGACGAAGTAGCCGCACTGCGCAGTCTTCGGGAGGAGTACTATGAGGATTGTGGCGCCCGCGAAGTCAACGGACGAGATGCTTCCCTCAGGTTTAAAGAGTACTCAGGATTGGTCAGTGCCTACGTCACAGCAAATAATTCTGACCAAAACTGTATAATGTTATCAATGCCTGAGCTGCCGCTAGTGGATACAATAAGAAGACATCAGAAGATGTTACTTAACGTTGATGAGCTATCCTAGTATAACGTCAGATTTAAATACATTAACTCATTCCATTTTTGGGAAAATATATACAAACAAAAAACGTTTGAGACGTGATATATATAAAACAAGTTGATTGTTCTAAGTCAACAACTCGATAGATCTTCCTCTATTTCTTCACGCACGCTGCTTCCAAATCTGCATATCACAAGTGATATATTTTTATACTAATTGTTGGGTGATGTTAACCTGTTGAACGTGACTACTGTCCTGTGTGTCAGTATATATAGCACCTAAGTGCCTTTTAATAATTGTATTACACAAGGCTTTCAGAGTGTCATAGCATTAGCAGTTGATCTAGTTTGATGTTGGATTTAAAGCCTATCAAACGCAAGGGGAAGATTGTTGTTTTGGTTCAATCACAATAGCTTATTATCGAACCCGCAAGTATACTTAAAACCTGAACGTAGTTCAGTCTTAAAGTAAACTATCAAGATCTATATGCACCTCTAGGTGTATGTGAACCTTTAGGTGTATACCAGCATTCATGATTTGGGTTGGTAGGTTTTGGGGTGAGGTTGGTCTTTGAAGCCTAGCATCCACGGGAAGGTTATTAAGCCCACCACAATAGTTTACTGACTAACCAGCAAGTATACTTTAGCCCTGACCATAGATCAGGATTAAAGTTTACTCTCAGTGTGTATACGCCGAGAAGTGGAATAGTATATATATATCCCTTGCGTGTTGATCTACGAGAGACGGAAATGATCCACAAGATTTTATGTTATTATTGATTAAATTGTTTAATAACTATAAAACGAGTATTTTTATTTACTATACCTATATTATTTTACCAATTACATAATTGAATTGTTGTAGTCTTATTATTAAACAAGTCCTTTCTTGTTTAATTTTTCCTTCGTGGTTATATATTTTCATATTATTCATCATGTGTTAATTTATTCGCCATTAACACACACACCAGCCCGTCCTCCAAACAAAGATCCAAAAGTGATTCCATGCACCCGCCAAACCCCCTGTTTATGAATGAAAAGCGGTTTACACACGACTCACAACTGCTGACGTTCGAACATATCCGGAACAAGTGCTTCACTGACGAATTTTGTTCGAATCACAACGCTGTAAATGCTTCACCCACGTACTACAAATACAAATAATCGCCAACAGAACCTAAACACCTAACCTAACCTAACCTAACCTAACCTAACCTAACCTAACCTATGCCTATATATGCACAATATGCTAATATATTATAATATTAATTTATATTTGAGAAAATTCCAGTTTTGAATGAACAACATATTAAAATTTATGAATGTGTCTGTGGGGTCGACCGCTGGATGTAATGGACTTGAGTCGAGGACGGGTTGCACACACACACACACTTACAACACGCCATGAACGCCATACTATATTTAGTGACGTACTCAGAAGACCCAGAAAAGCACACATATACAATCTCTTCAACAAAATACATGCCCCGCCCCCGCAACCCGCATGCACACACACAAAAAAAATACTCTTGACCAAGATAGGTTAAGTCCTGCTCCATCCTACTGTTCTCCTATCCTCACTTGAACAATCACACCCTTTTGGGCTGGACGGTAGAACGACAGGTCTCGCTTCATCCAGGTCGGCGTTCAATCCCCGACCGTCCAAGTGGTTGGGCACCATTCCTTTCCCTCATCCCTTATCCTGATCCATTCTAAGTGCTATATAGTGGTAATGGGTTGGCGCTTTCATTGGATTTCAACTTCTTGGAAGTGTTTTTCTTTCCCAGCAGCAGCAGCTCAGTGAACGCCGGTCATCTGTTCCATGAATTCCACCGGTGCCGTCTCTCGCTTCATCTCAAGAACTAGACTTACCACCTTGTAATTTATTGAGAATATATTGTTGACTTATCGTGTGTTTCAATACCCGTTTGTCTATTTTTTAAGAGATTATAAACTATCTACGCTCCCAAATCTAATGAGTTAAGACTTCGCCAAATTGAGGAAAACACACTTGAAAACAAATTTCTTGGTATAGGATATAATTAGTTTTGTCGAGGGACAGGTTGGCTGCGTGTATATATATATATATATATATATATATATATATATATATATATATATATATATATATATATATATATATATATAAAATAAAGGATGCAACTTTACAGCTGTTTACAAACTCTACAATACCTATACTTACTGATAATGGGAACCAACCTTTTATCTATTTAAACGTAAGAGGCATTTTCCAACATTATTTCTCCTTTATTGATGGAGCAATAATGAAGCATTACTTGCCAATACATATATAACAACACCCCAGAATAGGATACCAATGAAATAGGTTCTGTATCGCAGTAGTCTACGTCCTCGGCTCACAACCGAGGGGCAAAAGTTTCATCCCCGAGCAGGACAGATATAATTGGGAACGTTTCCTTTCACCTGATACCTTTGTTGACCTAACAGTACAATAGGTACTCAGGAGTTGGGCACTATGGTGCTGGTCCCATATCCTCGGGATGATCAGTAATTGGCCTATGAAAACCTCGATAAGTCTAACGTTAACAAGCTTCCTGTTCCTGACAATGGAATAGAAGACCTATAATAATATTAAGATGCAAATAATAATACATATTAATATTATTATAATATACATGGTGATGAAAAATCACGTAAGACAGAAATCGATGTATATGCCACTAAAAGAAAACGAGGACCAGATACATGTGTTTAACCGCCCAAACAACACATCACAACAGCTTCGGTGTTGAAGTACAATAAACTGCACCTACTATCAAGAAGAAGAAGAAGACAATAAACTGTTGCTATCTTGGGGAAAAAGGAAGCTGCCAACACGTGACACATAACACAAGAAAGGAGGAGGATAGTATAGTGAAGAAGACTTCACATTAAAGGAAGAAGTATGGATGGCTGTGAAATATTAGAGCTACAGTGTAGCAGTCAAGGTAGAGTAGATGCCGGGTTTTAAGGAAATATGGTCAAAATCTGTACCAGCATTAAAATGATGATGTTATAGACACATCACACACCGTGTACACCAGATATAAAACATTTGTACCGTATTTTTGTAACGTTGAGTTATTGAATTTAAAGAATAGTAATGACCGGTCACGTTTAAAGGGTCTCGTTAGTACAGTAGGGTTCAATCTTTTTCGACTCACAATCGAGAATTCCGGATTCGAATCCCAGGCGGGACAGAAATGGTTGGCCGCATTTCCTTTCACCTAAGTCCCCGGTCCACCTAGCAGTAAATAGATACCCAGGAGATAGTCAGCTTGTTATGGAGTTGCATCCTGGGGAGGTTCAGTAATTCTACCCAGGTGGGGAAGGGGCCTCGATGTAAGTCTAACATGTACTGTATGTATAAACTGGTTACCTGTCCCCCGACACAATGAATTATAATAATTTAAGGAAAACTACAGACCCACATGTGGCAGTTCCTGTTTATTATTTCCCATAGCTAGAGACGAGAAACCTAGACTTATCGAGATCCTCCTTAGGCCAACTACTGATCTTTCCCTGGGTGCACCCCACAATAGTTGCCTCATTCCTGGATACCTACTCCCAGCTAGATGAACAGAACATCAGCTAAAAGGAAATGTTTCCCAAATACTTCTATCCTAAACCAGGAATCTAACTTGGAACCTTTCGATTGTAGCTTGATCGCTTACTACTGTGCCACAAGAACCATTCCTTGATGATTAGTTAGTATTTTCAGCACAATAATAATAGGAGAGTGATTGCTTGCCAATTAATAACAACAGCAGCAGCTGATGTTCTTTCATAAAATTTATATTTTTCAATGCTAAGGCCTTTGAATCCTGTACTCTTGTACAGAAAACTATACATAAATACTATATTCAGGAAACTTGTTCTGTACAGTGGGGATTTAGTGAGGTTCATATCTTCATAAGGAAATTATTTAATACTTTTCCAATTTAATACAGACTTGTCGATAACTCTGTTTAACACAAGGCAGTAAGATGATGTGAGTTGATACTATTCAAGAAATTAAAACATCACATTTAAAATTAAACCACCATCAAATTTTGGTTTTAGTAAGTACATTGGCTTTTCCATAACTTTAACTCTTGTGGTTAGTTGCCATGAAAATCAATATTACCTAAATATACCTGAGGACCACCATTAGTATTGGTTTTGGCTGCGACAGGAAGCCACTAACATCACACATCATAAAAATCTTTGAAAAAGTGCTAAGAAGTAAGATCACAAAATACATGAAATCACAACATATCCATAACCCTGGACAACATGGTTTCAGAACAGGGTGCTCTTGCCTATCACAGTTGCTGGACAACTATGTCATGGCGTTAGATGCCATGGAAGACAGACGAAAGTAATTTACACAGAAATCTCAAAAGCCTTCGACAAATGTGACCACGGTGTTATTGCACACAAAATGTTTTCAAAAGGAATTACTGGAAAAATAGGAAGATGGATCTACAATTTCCTGACTAACAGAACCCAATATGTAATAGTCAACAAAATAAAATCCAGACCATCAACCGTGAAGAGCTCAATCTCCCAGGGTACTGTGCTTGCTACAGTACTTTTTATCATTCTCATATTGGATATAGCCAAGGACACAAACTATAGTACCTTATCATCCTTTGCAGATGACACTAGGATTTTTATGAGAGTAGATACCGTAGAGGACATGGCAAACCTACAATCAAATGTCAATCAGGTCTTTCAATGGGGTACAGAAAATAATATGGTATTTAATGAAGATAAGTTCAAGCTCGTGCGCTGCTGAAAAAAAGGAAAATATAAAAACGGAAACCACGTACAAAATGCAGTCAAATCATACCATAAAATGAAAAAGCAATGTAAAGGTTTTAGGTGTACTCATGCTGAAAGTCCTTACCTTCAAAGAACACAATAAAGTAGCCGTCACAACTACAAGAAAAATGACAGGTTGGATAACAAGAAACTTTCAAACTAGAGATGCTATACCAATTATGATACTTTTCAAGATACTAATGCTCTCTAGAGTGAAATACTGTTGCACAATAACAGCCCCTTTTAAAGCTGGAGAAATTGCTGACCCCGGAGAGCACGTAGAAGGACCTTTACTCCTAGAATCCGCTCAGTAAAACATCTAAACTATTGGGACCGACTAAAATGCCTAAATCTGTATTCTCTAGAGTGCAGACTGGAGAGATACATAATAATTTACACATGGAAAATAGTAGAGGGGCTGGTCCCAAATCTGTACAAATAAATAACATCATATGAGACTAGAAGGCATGGCAGGATATGCAGAATACCCCTGTTGAAAAGCAGAGGTGCAATAGGTGCTCTGAGAGAGAACTCTATCAACATCAGAGGCACGAGACTGTTCAACACGCTTCCACTACACCTAAGGGGCATAACTGGCCAACCCCTCACAGTGTTCAAGAGAGAGAACTTGATATACACCACCAAAGGATACCTGATCAACCGGGCTGTGATTCATTCCTCAAGCTGCGAGCAGTCACATCCAACAGCCTGGTTGACCAGTCCAGCAACCAGGAGGCCTGAGCGTGGACCGGGCTGTAGGGACATTGAGCCCCAATATCATCGAAAGGTAACCGAAAGGTAAGGTTGTAGCTAATCCATAACCCTGGTTTTCAAAGCCTAGCATAAGAAGTGCTGAAATCATATCAAATTCAAAGTGAAAATCAATAATAGACTTTGTTTTAAATATGTTCATTGGTTACCCCATATACCCATTCCTTTCTTTCAATGTTGATGGATATACACAAAGATAAACTAATGGTGAGTTTTTTCTTACCCTTGATCCTTCTCAGGGCATAACAAAACAATGCTTTCATATTTTTTACACAAAAATAAAGTGTCCTCTATTGTGTCAATAATCCTTAAAATTATACAGAAACATTATATACGCTTTGCGTAATAGTGGCTTTAGGCATTGTATGTACTAGCTCCATCTATAAATCGATCAAATTATGTAAAATCTCTTGTATGTATGTACCTTACCTGAATTTTTTTTTACATTATTTAATAGACTTGTTCTGTGTTGAACTGTTAGTAAACCTAGTAAACCTTAACATTTAGCTGTCACTAGTTTACATTATTTTTATATTATATGTAATACAAATTATGGGTCGTGGGATACCTACCATTTTTCACATGTGAACCCTAATGCAATGTTTGCAGTCTGATTTAGCAGCTGGGCCTGAACCTACCTTGAGGTTACCTTGCAGTGGTTCTGAGGATCAGTGCACTGGGCTGTAATTCATGCATCAGACTGTGAGCAGTGGCATGAAATGGCCTGGTTGATCATACCACCAACCTGGATTGCTTGTTTATTACACTTAAATATATATGTCATTTGTATTGCGAGATTTACGTGACATAGAGGATTGGGGATTCCTTCATGATCAAATGCATTACATATATCTAAGTTTATTTATTTCTTGGAGAGCATACAATAGACATAATGTTTAGTTGCTGAAGTTATTTATGAACTGATTAATTAAGTCGGTATAATATTCAGAAAACAGAATTTCAACTGGAATGGCATATGCTCAACTTTTCAGACCCAGAGTCTACTCTTAGGAAAGTGGAGCAAGAACTGAAAAATGTCACACGTGAACTGCAAATTCTTCAGGGGCGTAAGCGAGCGTTAGAGGCTAAACAGGAGAAATTAAGAGATTCAATTCAGCAACAGAAATCAGCACATCTTGCTCAACGAGACTGGGATAGACAAGGTTAGTTCACAACCCTTTTCAATATTGTGCAGAAATGCATTATTGCATAAATATTTTTGCATTCTCATTCACTTTAATATATGTAGAGAATCCTCTTGGACGTTGGTTCGAACCCTCATCACGGCCCTTGTGGATTTGTTCATTTGATGCATCACACTACTGGTATTGTGATTTCTGTATGTAATATTTGGAACTTTGTACCAAATGTGGTTTTAAGACCCATATTCCTAGTCACTTGCTAGTTGCCATAAACAACAGTTCATTTTCTTGCCTGAACACATTTACATGGGTTGCTATTATGAAAATCAACCCCACCAATTAGTGGGTTCAGGCACAGCATACAGAACTAAGAACCAGATGGGACGTGAAGAATTCTAAATGTACGGTATTTCAATTAACACACTGCTAATTTAGAGGGATATAACTAGGCATCTATTAGTAACTGAAGAGTCCTTATGGTTTATGAATTTATTGAACAATTTTGAGTGTTCATCAAAGAATTTAAATGCATCAGAAGATGCAGCTCTGATGCCATCCCATCAGGGAATGTGTAGAGATTGAAGCACCAAGATAAAGGAAGGTGAGATCCTCGAGGGGAATAAGATATCTGACATTTAGATAGTAGGCTTTATTTATTCCAACATTAGAAAATAACCAACAAGTCAGAATTTTCCCCCAAAAAAGATTATAATTGTGAAAAAGATTTATATATATTTTACAGATTTTCCATGGTCAAAAGAATTGGAGAAATTGCAGAACACAGTCTTCAAAATCCCTACACTAAGAGCTCACCAGCTTCCTACCATGAATGCCACATTGTCTGGAATAGATACCATTCTAATTATGCCTACCGGAGGAGGGAAAAGTTTATGCTTCCAGCTTCCAGCTCTTATATCTAAAGGTAAATAACCCACGTACAGTGCTTCAAAACGTATACTGTATATATATATGAATTACGGTGGGTGTAGGCCAATGTTTTGGTAGATGAAAGTAGTTGTGTGTTGGCGACGTAAATGAAACTGAACTTGTGTATAAGTGTGTATAGATGAATAAATGAGTGTGGTGTTGTCATATGAGTTGGATTTGTTATGTGAATGTGTATATGTATGTGTGGGTGTGGTGTCTGTGATATGGTGCATACTTAATGTGTTAAGGCACTGGTGTCAACATAAATACCCGGGACCTTTAATTAATGTTTTGAGAGATTGTTGCCGCTAACCCCTTTAGATGAAAAGCAGGTCAAACATAGTGAGCAGATGGTCAAGCAGCTGTTGAATTATTCGTTATTAGCAGAGGAATCCTTGCCAGCAGATTTGAATCTTAAGTATTGCTTGGGTAAGGTTAATTCAAGTTTTGAATGTATATGAATGCACTTTCTGGTTATCATTTCAGGCTGGAATGTCGATTCTGCAGTGTCTTGCTTTCTCCTCCTATGGGTATGATCACTTACTTCAGAAGTGTACTTATACCATTAAAGATGTTTGTTATGTTCATGAAAAGTCACATTGGTCCTGACTGAGGAGCACAGCATTCATGAGGAAACACAGCATTCATGAGGAAGCACAGTGTTCATAAGGGAACAGAGCATTCATGAAGGAGCACAGTATTCACGAGGATGCAGTGCTCACAAGGGCACAGTGTTCACAAGTGTGCACAGTGTTCAAAAGGGAACGCAGTGTTCACGAGAGAGAACAGTGGCTCCCCGATTTACTGAAGGGGCCATCCAAGAAAGTGCTTTTCATGCATTAGATTCTCAAAGCCTTGTTTTGTTTTTCTCCAGGTATTACCTTGGTTGTCTCTCCACTGGTGTCACTGATGGAGGATCAGTTAATGAGTCTGAAGGCTCGAGGAGTTCAGGCGAGGATGCTCTCTGCTGCATCCACTAGAGAAGAAGTCAATGGAGTCCACTCTGTATGAATTATTGAGGGTATACATATTAATTAGTAAACATAGAGCATTAATTGTTTATATGATCTATATATCTTTTTCTTGAATCATCATCATTAATCCACTGCTGGGATTATCATCTATTGTAAACCCCCCATTGTGCTTCTGCAGTCTCCTCTATCACCATATTTTAGAAGCTTAATACTTGGTTTTGTTTAACAATATAGTAGTCAGTCTTTTTCTCAGCCATGTTTTTTGCCTTGTCAAATCCAGCTATAGGAAAGATTTTATTAGTCCACAGTTAATTTTTCTTATCATTTGGTTTTCATTTTATCATTGCAATTCCTCAACTCATTTCATTATGCCTTCTTCTTTTTTCCCATATATTGCCTTGTGAGAATGATTGTAAAAAGAGCCTATTAGTATCAAGGATATGATGGTCCTACTGCCCCAGCGTTTAGCTGGGAATCTCTGGAGTTGTGGTATACTGCTTCGGGAAGCTGTCAAACGGTCTTAGCTCAGAAAATAACGAAAGTATAACAAATCACAATTACAGTATTGCCTTAAGATGGCTAAAGTTGTTTACAACTTAATTTCCTCTGCAATAATCAGGGTCTAGAATGAATTAATTCATTGTGAATACTATGTTTACTGTGCATTCTATAATGAGTATATTTTATCTTCAGGATATGACAAATCCTAATAGCCAACTAAAGCTACTGTATGTTACTCCTGAGAAACTTGCAAAATCTAAGCGATTTATGGCCAAGCTTCAGAAGATGCATCAAATTGGTCGATTTGCTCGCTTAGCCATTGATGAAGTTCACTGTTGTTCACAGTGGGGACACGATTTTAGGCCAGGTAAGTGGATGCTGCATGTTGTATATTTCTTTGACTTTCTTTAAGACTGATTTTTATGAAATTGCTACATAAATAATTTACTGTATATGTGTTGTAGGAGTACATTATTTATTTTTCAACAAAAATAATGTACAGTAATTGTTTGTCAGTAAGAATGGTTAGACAGAGAGAATGTGCAAAATTTTTAGCAACAATGAACATTATTAACTAGAAGTAACATGGAATTTTTGTTAATTAACAGTACAAATCAATAAAACCACAATTCCAAACATTCAGAAATGGAAGGGGCTTTAGACAAAGTTGGTGTAAGATCACATTCTTATACTGTATCAGCCTGGCCATAAAAGAATTCTGCAAGCTAACCCATTCTGTGTATTTACCATAGTGCAGAATTGTAAATTTTAATGAAAGAACTCATATGTGTGTATATCTACTGAAGACATTTCAAATTTACTTGTATAATATTTATCTTGTAGGCATACATGTATGGTAGTATTCCTCATGGTTTCTATTTATTTGGGTATATTAAGGTCTGAAATATACACCCAGACAACTTGTCTTCAATTATTAAATATAGTTCTTGCAGAAAAAAAACAAAAATACTTTCAACTTAATTCATGTTTGGGTAAGAACACAGATTAGATCACATGAATACTTAGTGGAAGCAAAAGTTTGTGCTAAAAATAGTAGAATTAAGTTTGTTTATTTATGCATATACATAATAATTGTCTGAATCATTATGAATAAAGCTGTCTAGTCTTTACAAGCATGAAACTAATGGCAGTCTCTCTCACAATGGCCATATGCAAATGCACATATTAGGCATGAAATTGTATTATGCACATTTAGCCCCTTATTTACAGTGATACAAAATTAATTTATTACCATTAAACTAGTTTCCATAATTGTAGAAACAAGTACTCTATTTGATCAAACATTTGAGTTCTCAATATTAGGGTATTACTATATAAGAAAGTTTGACAAATTTTGATTTCTTTTGTAAGTAAAACTGATTATAAAGTAAAACATTGATTATAGCTTTTATTTAATTTTCAAGTACAGCTTTCTTTATACACCACACTTTTCTTGCAGATTACAAATATCTTGGTATCATGCATAAAATGTTCCCAGGAACACCAATCTTGGGACTTACTGCCACAGCTACTTCAAGAGTCATTCAAGATGTGCAAAAAATTTTGGACATCAAAGGCTGTTTAGTTCTTAAAGCATCTTTCAATCGGCCAAATCTATTTTATGAGGTAAATTTGCATAAAATTTAATTTACAATCACTTATCATAAGGTATGAATGAGCTGAAATCTCCATATATATATCTGCTGGATAGAGATTAGAAGGAACTTAAGGAGAAAATGATTGTTGAAGAAAACAAAATCATTAACTGAATTGAAATGTCCCTTTCTAAAATAGCCCATCAGTTGCTTGACCCTAGCCAGGGCTAGGGTCAGCCGAGGATACTGCCCCTATGTCAGGCTTTATTGCCTTATGTCCAAATAACAAGGAATGTTTCAAATAATCATGCCATGTGGTGGAGGGAAAGGGAGACAATAAATGACACAGCTCCAATACACAACAAGTGACTGTTAGCTATAATATCAATAAAATAAACAAAACTCTGTCAATCATTGCTTGAAGATGTTGTTAACATAAAGATAGCCAATTATCATTCTGCAAGCTACCAAACAAACTTACTGATATCCAGCTTGATGTTAGATTAGTACACTATATAATTTTTGCCATTTTTAGTTATTCCAGAAGTGTCCTTCTAGACTTGGAATCTTTAAATTGATGCATCCCATTATTTTGAAAATTAAAAAGAAGTTAGTTTTAGCCAAAAAAAGTGAGCATCAAATAGATTTCTTCTGGTATCCAGAACATGTGAATGTGTCTGGCAGTGAGTGAGCTCATGAGCTGGTCAAACCTGCCTCGGCCATCTTTGTCCCTCATTAAAAAATTTACAGTATTTATTTTAGTTTTAAGTACTGTATTTTATATGCAAATTTGTTTTATTGTATTCGGCACCAATGACAGCGTCTTTATAGTATCGGAGACATATTTCCCATTCATTTAATAAATCCATTTCACCTCAAATTTTTTTTTTACTCTCATTGCCTCTTATTCACCAAGGTTTTGCATATACTATATATCCATATTATCACTCTTACATTGATTTTATCTTGTAATCTCCCCTAATTGTATAAATCCATATTTTATATAGCAAGCTACATTTAGTAAGCAACATACTTCACTTTTTCACAGTTGCACTACGCATAATACAAAATTACATTAAAACGTGTAAAAAAATTATAAAGTAATCTGTCCAACAGCACAGCTTTTTTCGTTTTCCCATGACTGTTTTTTAATATACATTATGAGGAAAATGGTGGAGAAACTGGTTAGTAGGTACAGGTAGGTACAGTACCTCCCTTGTGACAAGCCAGTTACTCAACAGTAATGTTTGAAATAAAAAAATCTTGTATATTTAATTTTTCTGAAAATTACCCTTAAAATAGTACAAAATTAACCTTTAAAATTTGTTCAATTGATATCTGATACATCTGATACCAGAAACATCTGGTATTTCCTTGTCTATACATTGAGCACTCAACCCTTCATGCATATTTTCATCACAGGTGCGACCCAAGCCTCCAGTCCAGGAAGAATGTGCTACTCAGCTTCAGCAGCTGCTTGAAGGGGAATTTAAAAATGAGTCTGGCATTATCTACACTATGACTATCAAGGATGCTGAAGAGCTGGTGTCAGGGCTCAAGTCGCGTGGTTTGCGTGTGGCACCGTACCATGCCCAGCTGGATGCACAAGTGAGAAGCAAAATCCATAGGAAGTGGGTGGAAAATGAATATCAGGTAAATTTGCTCAAATTCAAATAATACAAATACTTCAGACGCAGACTGCGTCACCAGAGCGCAAAAATGTTTATTAATATGTTGATATCTGCTCTGAGAACAGATAGGTTTCTTTTGGGCAAACAAATAGGTTCTTTTGTGCAAAGAGGTAGGGTTCAGCATACTATTTTTTTTCTTTGTCTAACTTTCCACAAGGTGTTCTTTTGTGATTTTAGAAATCATAATCATTACAATAATGAAATATTTTATACAAATTATGAAGCTATTATGTGTGGATGATCAGTACTGTACATCGGTTAGATTCTCTTAAGTTTGAGTAACATAATCAAATACAGTAACGCTAATATCCTGTGCCACCTGTTGATCCCGTCTTTCACCATTTTAATTCCGACAGGCTGTTGTAGCTACCATTGCATTCGGCATGGGGATTGATAAACCCGATGTTCGCTTTGTGATTCACCATTGCATATCCAAATCGATGGAAAACTTTTACCAGGTGAGTAAGAAGTTGAGTGTTATATTATAAAAAAAAGTTATAAACCAAAAATGCCAGTTTCTGGGAAAGCCTCCTGGGCACACCTAGAAACTGCAGTTTTATTACATTCAACACTGGTTTTTGTATCTCTCTCTTAGGACCCCAGTAGTCATTGTGTCACTGCTATCGAGTTTTAGAACCATTACAGCCAATTTGCCAGTGGAGCAGTGGAGGGAAGGTGGTTAAAACCTAACATAGAGTATGTCAGGTACTAACTACTCCATACCTGAGTATGGGGTATTCCCATACTCCATACTCACAATTGTAAATTATACACTAGGATGTTTTTCAATATATAGCCAATTGCTGTATAAACATTTATATGTATCACAAGAATGGTTAAAATTACTTCAATTAATTTTTAATGTTTATATCATAGAATCATACCATATAATGTTAAAATTGTTGTCATTATCACCACTTAATATTAAAGCTGTAATTTTCTTATATTTCTTCATACAGTATTTATAATGGGAGAAATTTATGTCAGCTTTAAGACCAAAATCTTGGAATTTAACTTATTGAAGGGTTTAACAACTGCTAGGTGTTTAACTAATTATATTATATTTTTGCATAATAACCAACATTTATTTCTCATCCGTCTGGCCAAATTGTGACCAGATATAAAATGTAGTGTACAGTGTAATATCAATAGAATGAACTAATTTGGATCAAATCCATTTCAAACTTTCATGTTATAGAATGGAATACAAAAATTTGCAACTCAGAAGTGACTAATGTGCTTATATATCTATGCTTACTTATCAGTGACTATGGAGGAGGGAGATATTGCTCTTCATGCCTTACCACCAAGGTTTTTATACATGGTGCACTTATTACATTGTTTGATGTTCACGTACTTGGTGATATGTGGTAGGAATTCCTCAGTGGTTCACCGAGCTTAGCTCTAGTATGACTTAGCTAAGCATATGAGGCCCATCCATTACCTACCGGCAGTTAGAATCAGAATCTGACTCACTTTAAAAAGAAAAGGAGAGCTTAGGTATCAGACACCAACCGAAAACTGGAAAAGCCTGCCAGAAAGAATAAGTGCAACAAAACAAGCGACTGTTTGAAAGAAACTAACCACGTCTAGGTAAACAAAACAGTTTATCAATACCACAGAATTATTAATTTAACTGTGATGTACCCAACCACCACCAGATGGTGGCCCAGGTCGCTAGGGATTCCAGTCGAACTACTACCCCTTTACTCTTGAGCTTCTTCGGCAAAAGCAAAGAACCCCACTGGAAAAATGACTTAATTTCTGGGAGATCCTTCGTAATTGTGCTCCGAGCTCACTCACAGTGGCATTTGGATAAAAGATGTTGGCTTTTCTAAATTTAAATAGGCTGTGGTATGGTCATATTGAATGAATAAATGATAGCGTGGTAAATTTTTTACTTACAAGTATATACTTATATTTACTTCACAAATTAATAGAACAACAAAATCATTTGATAATGTTTTTTGCTTATAGGAGAGTGGAAGAGCAGGAAGAGATGGCAGACCTGCAAAATGCATTATTTTCTGGAGATTTGCTGATCTATCTCGACAGAGCACTATGGTGTTCACGGAACAGACTGGCCAAGAGAATCTGTATGGGCTGATTAGCTACTGTCTAGACAGTCATAGGTAAGGCATATTCTTTGCATGGGAAAAAAAATCTACCTATTGCAGGGGCTAACTTCCATTTCTAGCCTTGTCCCTGACAAGGAATTTGCTATCTTGCTTTCATATTAAATTTAATTTGTAAGATTTCACAATGTCCTTGAACATAAATTATGCACAGCCAGATACGACAACATTCTGCTACAGGCTTGCAAATATTGACTTCAGCATCATAATAGGTGCTAAGGAAACAAAAGAAAACAATTCAGTCCAGCTGAAATTGACTGACAGAAGCCAATTTATATAACTTTTCATCTTAGTGGGAGAATGAGTGGAGGGGAGGGGGGGGGGCCTCCATGAAATTCCCCTCATTGTGATGTTGGGCTAAGGTTACTCATTTGTTTACAGTATGTAGCATCATTAATTTATCACCTAGCATGCATAATAGCAAAGATTATGTATTAATATAGCTACATATTACTGGCAGATGCAGAAGAAATATTATAGCTGAGCACTTTGATGAGAGATGGGAGACTGCAGATTGTCGAGGAATGTGTGATCATTGCAAAGCACCAAGAGAAACCAAAAATTTAGACACAACAAAATATGGCGAGCATTTGTTGATGATACTCACAAAGGCTGCTAGTTTGGATCAGAAGCTGACTGGTAAGTATTAATATTTAAGTTTCATATTTTTATTATTATTTCTTTTCAAAGCCCACTCAGTTACTTTAGCCTGGGGCCTGGGTCCACCCAGGATACCACTGCTCATACCCCAGAATCTCATTGAGTTTTGGCCCCATTGCGACAAGGAATTTTGCAGATGGCTTTACCACATTGTGTAGGGGGTTGGGAGAGTGAAGAGTCTAAATCTATCATCAAGAGAGCCTAACTCCAAAGTATGGAGTTACCAACAGTATGGTAACTGTTTTAACTCCAAAGAGCAGAGCAAACCTCTCACCACCATCTAGCTGTAATTGGAAACACTTAGAAAGCCAGTTATTATTGCTCTGGTGAAATCAAGTTAACTAACAAGTGGCATCTAACAGCCTAGTTGACCATCCACCAACCAGGAGGCCCAGTCAGAGCCTGGGCTCTGGGAACATTGATGTGCAGAACCATCATCTGGTAGTCACACAGTAACTGCTTACCCGACTGCCACCTGCTGTCAGTGTGGTTCTTAACTGGTAGTTCATTCTTTTTTGCCTGTGCTTTTCTTCTAGAGCAGCTTTTGTCTTTGTGCTCTTGTTTTCCTCAGCCTTTGACCCATTTAGGTTGTACAGTACCAGCAATCTGGATACCTTGACCAGTCTTGTATCTAGAGCCCTTTAGCAGCCTAACCAGCTTCATTTTCCTGCTCAAGTAAGTTGCCCCTCTTGTCTATTAATTTTTATGTAGTATTTGTTCACTTTGCAGAAGTGGTTATGGAAATATCTAAAAAGTCCTAGCTCAGAAATAGCATTGTGAACACAGTGAAACGCTCCTTCCTGAGCATATTGTTCAGATGCTTCTGTTCTCGACCTAGTTGCCCCTTCTCTCCTGAGCATGTCCCTCATATGCTCTATTCTTGTCCTAGTTGTCTATTCTTTCCCGAGCATGTCCCTCGTATGCTTCATTCTCTCCCTTGTGGACCCTTCTTTCTTGAGTGCACTTGGATGTTGTGGACTGCAAATGAAGGTAGCTGGCTCCTTCAACACTTTTGGGATGATAGTTGTCACCTGGTTGCAGGCAGTGTAACTTTGCAAAACTACTTTCAGTCCTGTAGATCAAGAGAGATAGTTGGTAGTCTTGATACTTCCAATTTTCATATATAGGTGGCAGTTTGAAAGTTGTCATTCATTATTGTATTATAGTGCCATGGTGCTGGCTTGAGTTAGACTCACCAATGTCTCCCTTTCCTTAGATACACAACAGGACACCTTGAAAAATTCACTATTATGATGAGGATAAAAGTTTTGAGAGCCTGGTGGGTGATAGAAGTCCTTGGTGGACCATTCGGGTGCCTGCTATGGGGGTCATCTGAGGTTCACGCTCTAAATAAAATGTTTCATTATGCCCAGTCCTCTATTTTTCAACAAAACTGTGGATAAAGGGTGCTGCACTGAACTAAATTGAAGAGTAATTATATGATTATTTACAGTTTATACTTTCTACCAGTCATTTCTATTTTCAGGTCAAAAGCTTGTCGATCTGTTTCTAGGCAAGGGTTCTCCAAAGTTACGCGTACAAGAAGCAATAGCAACTGGATTAGCTAGAGACCGAGCTGAAAACATTGTTGCTTTCTTCCTTATAGATGGTTTCCTTAAAGAGGACTTCCATTTTACCCCTTACAGTACCATCAGCTACATTGTACCAGGTAACTCTCAGAGCATTCATTGTCTCCTGTTGACGAGATATATCAGTAACGCACTATAATAAACAGAGCAGAGAATTACATACTAAAGGATCTTAGACTTATATCAGATGTTATGAATGTGTGAAAATGTGTTTGAGATGAATGAAATGCACGTAGATTTAAAGGTCATAAGCAAATATGCTTTAAATTATGATAAAACCATCGTCTCACTTGTGCTTTGACAGCTATAGTTTGAATAGTGATAATTTATTACACACCATTTCAGCAAATAGGGTGAATTTGCCATGACATTGCTGTCAACAAACTGGGATTGTTTTCTTCATATAAAACAAACAACTTTTTAATTTATATTAATGAGGATACTAAAATATTCATAATTAGCTCTTTTCTGCGAGATAATATACTGTATTACCATTTGTTAAAGCCCTTGGTGCCTCCTTGGATAATTACTTACTTATTAAGCACAAGAGGGCTTTAAGAATGGTTGTCCATATCCGACTAATCGCCAGCAATTGTCTGCTGTGCTTATATTGGTACCTAAATAGTAAAAATATAAGTACGTGTATTGTTGGATATAACAGATCCACAAAAATCCCAGAAACACAAAATTAGAACATACATTTTTTCTTCATGATTCTTGGAAACTTTAAAATCTTTTATTTCAGAGCTTCATTAGTTCTCGGCAACTGTTAGGAACAGCTGGTTGATTGCACTGCTTTGAGAAGCATTTTGTTGTTTTTCTTGTAGCTCAGTTGTAAAGCATCATTGCTTGTCATATTTTGTTTGGTTTGCAGGTACAGCAACTGTTTCCAATCATTGAAATATTGCTAATATATTTATATAGATATTACTGTTACAGGTCCAAAAGCAGAAGCTGGAGTCCCACCAAGCGCCTTAATTGTTGGTGGCATTCGAAAATTATCAAGCATCTCTGTCAGTCAATCATCAGAAAAAGCTGCCGACAATAGCCAACGAAATCATGCCCCAAAAACTGAAGAACAAGCAGGAACCACAAAGAAACGTGAAATCAAATCAAAGGCCAATCTCTCATTTGGAAATAACAGTGACTGTGATGCATCTAGCAGAACCAGCAGTATAAGTGACAGTAAGAAAAACAGCAGCAACAATTGCAAAGACCAAACTCAAAAATCAAAGTTTTCTCAAAGTAAGAAGTCTGCACGCAATTGTGTTAAAAGCCAGGTGAAGTCAGAGCAAAAATCCAATACGAAAGGTGTAGCCAAATCACCAGAGACGGCAACTTTTTTACTGGAGTCGTCCTCTGATGCAGAACATAGTTATTCTGATGCTAGTGACCAGCCAAGTTCATACAAAAGGAGGCGAATCATAACGATTGATAATTCTAGTGATTGTTCAGAAGGCTAAACCAAAATGTGGATTGATAAATGTTGTATTTTCTTTTGCTAAATATATTTTTTATAGTTGGTGTCCATTGATAAAATTCTTAGCAAATCAGGTATGTACTTTTGTCATTGTTCGTCATCTTTTTGCTCTTTTATTAGAACCCTGAATGATTTAATGAAATTTATGATTTGGTAGTATTATCTGTCAGAGTAATCTTTCAGATTTGGTGCCCTCTTTTAATAATTGTTTTAGTTGACTTAAGTGCAAATTTATCCCATCACTGCTTGTAATGTTCTTTAATTTGAGGTCATCAGTATCAAAACTATTAACAATATCTTTCAAGTTTTCCATATACAGTATGCCGTGTGAACTGTTTCTTTACACCAACTGATTTTTTGAGTGTTGCCCAAGGACACAATTAGGTTTTAATTTCGGAGACCCGACAACAGCATTCAAAATATTGTATTGTATTTCCAGACAAACATTTTGGAATTCTGTGGCCAAAGATATGATGGAGAAACAACAACATTTCACTCTGTCGTGGACCATTATCAAGTTGTGTGTGAGAAAGAGAGGAAGGAACAAGCCAATAAATAAGGAAAGAGTGAGGTGGGGAGCAGGGAAGAGAAGAAGGTAAGAGTAAGGTGAAAGGTAAGAATTGGATAAAACACCCACACTTGTGCATTTGTGAAATTTATGTAAGGAATTTACACCAAGTCTTTTGCACTCTCCTGTGTGCTTTGATCAAGGTCCAAGTGTGTGATTAGGACGAGACTTGCATCTTAACATCTTATGAGCCTGCTATCCTGGGTCCAGTCTCTCTTGACCATCTCACCTCTATTTCCGACTTCTTATGTACCTGCGGTAATATCTTCTATGGAATTACAGTCAAGGTTCCTTTCTGTAAATCTGGTAATCCAGATGAACACCTCCAGTTCTCAGAATAGTAGGATTACAGAAAGGACACATGACCATAATTCCATAGCAGACATTACTGCAGGTACATCAGAAGTCGGAGAGAGAGGTGACATGGTCAAGAAGGACTAGACCTAGGATAGCAGGCTCATAAGACATTAAGATGCAAGTCTCGTCCTAATCATGCATTTAGGAGAGTACAAAAGACTGTAAATTGTTGACCGGACCACACACTAGAAGGTGAAGGGACGACGACGTTTCGGTCCGTTCTGGACCATTCTCAAGTAGATTGTGATGAGGAAGTTGATGCTGGCAATAAATAGGCAAGAGAGAGATGAGGAGCAAGGTAAGGTGTAGTCGAGAGGATAGTAGTAGGAATAAGAACTGCAGAAGGCCCATACAAGGCAGCTCCTATTATAACCACCGAATGAGAAGGGGATAGGAATAGGAATAAGAAGAGGATAGCAAGGGAACATAAGAGAAGACAATGAACAGAAAAGAGAGAGAAAGAAAAGGAAAGAGAAAGAAAGATAAATGGAAGGGTAAGCTTATGGTAGGTCACGATTGTTAGAAAGATTAGAGTATTTGAGTATATACTGCGAAAGGGAAGAGTCCACAGCAACAAAGTCAGGACTCAAGTTCATGTTGGGTACGTTGTGTATTAGAGCCGATTCAACAAGACGGCGTCTGTGTAGAGTAGAGGCAGGAAAGATTATTTTGGAGGAAGACCAATCAATAGGATGATTAGAATCCCTCACATGACAGAAGAGAGAACTGTTAGTGTCTGCAGACTTAACACTTCTCTTGTGTTCCTTAAGTCAATGACAGACTTAAAGAACACAAGAAAAGTGTTAAGTCTGCAGACACTAACAGTTCTCTCTTCTGTCATGTGAGGGATTCTAATCATCCTATCGATTGGTCTTCCTCCAAAATAATCTTTCCTGCCTCTACTCTACACAGACGCCGTCTTGTTGAATCGGCTCTAATACACAACGTACCCAACATGAACTTGAGTCCTGACTTTGTTGCTGTGGACTCTTCCCTTTCACAGTATATACTCAAATACTCTAATCTTTCTAACAATCGTGACCTACCATAAGCTTACCCTTCCATTTATCTTTCTTTCTCTCTTTTTCTGTTCATTGTCTTCTCTTATGTTCCCTTGCTATCCTCTTCTTATTCCTATTACTATCCCCTTCTCATTTGGTGGTTATAATAGGCACTGCCTCGTATGGGCCTTCTGCAGTTCTTATTCCTACTACTATCCCCTCTACTACACTTTACCTTGCTCCTCACCACTCTCTTGCCTATTTATTGCCTGCATCAACTTCCACATCACAATCAACTTGAGAGTGGTCCAGGACGGACCGAAACGTCGTCATCCCTTCACCTTCTAGTGTGTGGTCTGGTGAACATTCTTCAGCCACGTTATTGTGACTCTTTGCCTGCAAGACTGTAAATTCTTTGCACAAATACACAAGTGTGTATTTTTTATCCTATGTTATTACGTCTGTGAGACGACATTACCTTTACTAATAGGAAGAATGTAGGCTTAAGTCGGGTCACTATTTTTAAGAAGGTTTAGAGCATTACAGTATGTATAGTGAAAGGGAAGAGTCGACAGCAACAGAGCCAGGACTAAGGTTCATGTGTATCAGAGGCTGTTTGACAAGATGGTGTCTGAAGAGTAGAGGCAGGAAAGATTATTTTATTTTAGAAGACCAATCCATAGAATGATTAGAAATCCCTAACATGACAAGAGGGCATTATGTGTGTGTCTGCAGACTTAAGGAATTTGAAAGAAGTGTTGTCATTTAGTGTACAGCCAGTTTCAGCAAAGTGTTGGATAGGACAGGACGAACAGGAAATAAATACCAGCAGGAGGAGCAGTGTAAACCAGATTACTACGAAGAGTGTTAGTTTCTCGAAAAGCGAGCTTTATGTCCAGAGGATGAAGGGTATTTAGTGAGATATGAAGGGAAGGCAGAGCACAGTGGTACTAGTGTTGGAAACAGATTTGGAATGAAAGAAATTACATTTAGCTTTAGAATAGGCACAGTTGATAAAATGTAAGGGGTATCCTAGGCTAGAGATATTTGTAAATCAAACAAATTTCAGAATCAAGAAACAGGGTCACTTATGTGTAGAGCACAGAGGAAGAGAGAACACTTTTCTTAACAGGAGGAGGATGGTAGGAAATTAATTGAATATACATACCACTATTCATGGGTTTGTTGTAGACAAAGAAAAAACTGGACACAGCTGTGACAATGAACGTCAAGAAAAGGAAGGAGGTAATTGGATTCCCATTCAGCTTTGAGATTGATAGAAAGAGCCAGATTGTTAAGAGAGGAGAGGATGGACTAGGGTCATGAGCCCATGGAGCAAAAATGTCAACATAGCAAAGCCAGAGAGAGGGACGAGTATCAATTGTGGGAAGAACAGGTTTGAAGTATTCAAGATAGAGATTGGCAAGAATAGGGAAGCCATAGAAACACAAAGTTTTAGAGAAGTATTTTCCAGTGTCGCTATGGCTTTCCTGTTCTTGCCAATCTCTATCTTGAATACTTCAAACCTGTTCTTCCCACAATTGATACTCGTCCCTCTCTCTGGCTTTGCTATGTTGACATTTTTGCTCCATGGGCTCATGACCCTAGTCCATCCTCTCCTCTCTTAACAATCTGGCTCTTTCTATCAATCTCAAAGCTGAATGGGAATCCAATTACCTCCTTCCTTTCCTTGACGTTCATTGTCACAGCTGTGTCCAGTTTTTTCTTTGTCTACAACAAACCCATGAATAGTGGTATGTATATTCAATTAATTTCCTACCATCCTCCTCCTGTTAAGAAAAGTGTTCTCTCTTCCTCTGTGCTCTACACATAAGTGACCCTGTTTCTTGATTCTGAAATTTGTTTGATTTACAAATATCTCTAGCCTAGGATACCCCTTACATTTTATCAACTGTGCCTATTCTAAAGCTAAATGTAATTTCTTTCATTCCAAATCTGTTTCCAACACTAGTACCACTGTGCTCTGCCTTCCCTTCATATCTCACTAAATACCCTTCATCCTCTGGACATAAAGCTCGCTTTTCGAGAAACTAACACTCTTCGTAGTAATCTGGTTTACACTGCTCCTCCTGCTGGTATTTATTTCCTGTTCGTCCTGTCCTATCCAACACTTTGCTGAAACTGGCTGTACACTAAATAACAACACTTCTTTCAAATTCCTTAAGTCTGCAAACACACACAAAGCTCTCTTGTCATGTTAGGATCATCCTATGGATTGGTCTTCTAAAACAATCTTTTCTGCCTCTACTCTTCAGACACCATCTTGTCAAACAGCCTCTGATACACAACATGAACCTTAGTCCTGGCTCTGTTGCTGTTGACTCTTCCCTTTCACTATACATACTGTAATGCTCTAAACCTTCTTAAAAATAGTGACCCGACTTAAGCCTACATTCTTCCTATTAGTAAAGGTAATGTCTTCTCACAGACGTAATAACATAGGATAAAAAACCCACACTTGTGTATTTATGTAAAGAATTTAGTCTTTTTGCACTCCTGAATGCTTTGTCAAGGTCGGAGTATGTGATTAGGACAAGACTTGCATCTCAACGTCTAATGGGGCTGCTATTCTAAGTCCAATCCTCTTGACCTCCTGACTGTCACCTTTCTTTCCGACACACCCGCGGTAATGTCTTCTACGGAATTATGGTCATGGTTCCTTTCTGTAAACCTGGTAATCATGATGAACACCTCCAGTTCTCAAATTTGCATGATTACAGAAAGGACACATGGCCTTAATGTCTTCCATAGAAGACATTACCGCAGGTACATTGGCAGTCAGAATGAAAGGTGACATAGTCAGGAGATCAAGAAGGATAAGAGGATTGGACCTAGGATAGCATTCCCATTAGATGTCGAGATGCAAGTCTCGTCCTAATTACACACTCAGACCTTGACAAAGCATTCACGAGTGCAAAAAATTAAATTCTTTACATAAATACACAAGTTTGGATTTTTATCCTATGTTCTTCCTATTCTTACCTTACTCTTACCTGCTCCCCACCTCACTCGTTTTCCTTATTTATCGGCTTGTTCCGTCTTCTCTTCCTCACACATGACTTGATAATGGTCCAGGATGGACCAAAACCTCGTCGTTTCTTTATCTTATGTGTGGTTTTGTCATTGAAAGCTGTAACCACTGTTGCCTGCAGCAGAAAAAAATATTAAATGAAAGAGTTGCTCAGGATATACACATTGGTAGCAAATTTAGGCATTTTATAAATTGTGAAAAAAATAATTACCATACTGCATCTTAAAATATGAATCATGTTGACAGTCAAAATGTAAATGAGTTACACAGCAAGTTTCAGTATCAGTTATTCTTTATTAAAATACATTGAAATCTATTTTTGTTTGTATGTTTTCACTCAGTATTTCTTCTTAATGCATTGATTGAAACTTAAAACACAAAAGTGATATAGTGTGGTCCTAACCACATAAGGTTAGGACTAGGCTACAGAATAATGATGTAGGATGAGGACAAAGGGGAAAGAATAGTGCCCAGCCACTTGGACGGTCGGGGATTGAATGCCGACCAGCATGGAGCGAGACCGTCACTCTACCGTCCAGCCCAAATGGTTGGGAGGGGGGTGTACATCAGCAGAAGAAAGCCTTCACACATCATAAAGAAGTGTAGCCATTATTTTAGTTGAGCATCTCAACTTGGTACAGTATAACCCACAGATTAATTGGGATGTTATACTGTATTGTGTGCAAGCTCTGCACCCTATTATAATTATCACCGAAGTATAACGAAAAATTCAAGGATTATCTTCATATTTTTTTTAAGCACATACAGTACAGTACTTTTTTTAATCAAGCCTCTAATATCAGTACAGCATTAATATTAAAATTCGAAAGGTTTAGTTACATTATGGGAACCATATATGGTTTGTGAACTTTATATGTTAATTACATGCTGTTTTTGAAAACTAGCATTTTAATAAATCTCAAGTCCTGTTCATATACTTTAAAATTATAATAGATATATATATATATATATATAGTCTTTCAAAATAATAGTTCTGTTAAGTCTGAAATGAGAATTAAAAGAACTGAAAAGACATGAAAATTAAAGATTGGAATCAAACATGTTGAGAGCCACACCAAGGGATTTCATCTTTTTCAGAGTGACGATATGGCCATACAACTCTCGAAGGCGCTTTGCCTCATCTTCGAGCTTCTCCTCCAAGTAATGAGCTATCTGAAAAAAAATAAAAAAATAAGAGCGTCAATATTAACTTTTAGTAAAAGGGTTTATCATCAATGACTAAGGAACTGTGACACCAAATTATTAATTGATCATGGTAAATGATTTTACTAGTTTTGTACATGATAGAGTAAGGCTGTGCATTATGCTACTATTCTGAGCAGGTTGTCTCTCATCTAACAAGATTAATGCTGACTATTATTATTATTATTAATTATAATGATGCAATGCATTACCTACTGTCTATACAGTATAAGGCAAGCTTACAAAACTGTTAGAATATTTGTCTTTAGTAACAGTAAAACCCTGACATATTAGACTGTTTCATCATGACATACTACTCGAGTGCCAACAGGTTTGATGCCAACATAATTATGCGTGGTCCTCCACCTCCTGCCACCTACCCTTCATGTGCTTCTCAGAGCACAAACATCACTAATGTAGGAAAGATTCACGATTGTTGTTTAATACCTGTTGATGCCCTTATTTAATACAATGCCATGATATTGAATTATGTAATAAAATTGTCAAAGATTTATAAATATTTATTATATATTCAGTAATAATTTTATGTTTTTATATATATAATATATATTTATATATTAATTACACTATGTTATATTGGGGGCAGGGGCAGCACCCGGCCTTGCAAGGGTCCGTCTCCCATCCATCCATATTTCATTCATGTGATTAAAGAAAATTTATTTGATGCATCAGGCAATGATGCATCAATTGTCAGGCTGCTTCATGGAGTGTGTAACAAAAAGGAGGACTGGGCCTGAGAAACGCTAAGCCCCTAAATCATCTCAAGATGACCTCAAGATGATATAACATGTAATTGCTGTTTTTATCATTTGCTATTAAATTTACCAAGTTCGCCACAAGCAGCTATTATTGGGTTTCTTGTGGCACAAAAATCTTTGCTTGGCCAATGCTTTCCACAATGTTTTTGTCGAGTGACTAGGGTAAACACTGGTATTTCCCAGAGTGACTGTGGGACTGTAACAATAATTCTCTGCAATTGTGTGCGAGAGGGAAGTGTGTGTAGAGTGCATGGAAAAGAGTGAGGGAGTGTGGTGTGGGTGGGGCAAAATGTGTATACAGTACCTTTGAGTATGTTATTTCATTTGGAAAGTTTATTTTGACGAGCCTGAAAATTCCTCAAAACTTTACCAATAATTATTAACCTGGAATTTATCAGTTATCTTGTAAATAAGTAGGATATAGCCCCATATAGGTCATTAAATTGAATGGTGCTATTATTGAACTGGGTTGCAGGAAGAGAGATTTGAAGATCCCAGTTCTATAGCATTTATTTCTGATCGCCAACAATTTTTTTATTATAACCCCCAATAAATAATAAATATTTATACGGTACTTTTCTGGACCATTTACCACCAGACTCATGGTGAGGGATTTGACTGTAAAAGTGTATGCTAAAATGCCTTGCATTTATATCTGGCCACAAAATGAATGTAGATGGCACATTCTATTTTATAGACCTATATACAGACCTATATACAGACCTATATACAGCCCTATATACAGATCTATATACAGATCTACACTGCAATATATAATGCATGTATGTATGTTGTGATTGCTCACTTTCTCCAGTTCTCAGTTTCACCCTAAAAAACAAAATATAAATTATTTTATATACCTCAGCATCTCCAGAGCTTGATGGACTCTTGTTTGCTTTATGGCAAAGTTTATTCATTTGTTCATATCGCCCCTGGCAGTTTTCCAGAACATCTTCCAGAGTGTTCACATAGTTCTCGCCTGAACCACCAGTTACGGTCAGATTATGGTAACCCTGTAACAAAAATCCTAGATCAGTATTATAATACAACAATATTAATAAATTATATTTCATACCCACAAAGATGATGCATTGTTGCATCAGAATGTTTATCTGGAGGACCCTCTTGATGGCATACGGAAGCCATTTCACCGGGATGGCTTCCCACTACCAAGTTCCATCAACCATAGTAGTCCTGTTTGACCTACCAGAGCCAAAACCTTCTTCATCCCCTTCCCCTCCTCTCCTCCTCATCCCCGCCCCCCCCTCCTCTCCCTCGAGGTACATGGAGCTGCCGATTGTTACAGTCACACATGCTCAGAAAACATCCAGAAATTAAATGAAGCAATACAGAAAACTTAAAGGTTCATATAAAACAAAGGACCAAAAAAGCCAAGCAACATTACAATCAAGTCATACCCAATTGGTTCACTTTAAACTAACTAGAACCCTGTAGTGTGAATGGTTGCTAACAGCTTGCACCTTGGGAACCAAGGCTTCTGCCCCAGTCATTAGTCAACCCTGTTGCCAATGTCCAAGTTCATAATTAGATCTTCCCAACTCGCCAATCTCTCACTTTTTCCAAATCAATGTAGCCCATCCTTTGGACATGGGGCCCCATTTGCTTATTTACCTCGCCAAATTATTAGTATTAGCTACACGTGCAAATGTTTAGGGCATAACTTCACCAAGATCTCATTTAGTGTTGCCCCCTCCCCTCCTGATGGAGTAACTTCGCTGGTGTGTTCACGAGTTTGACCCGGAAGAGACTCGCCCTGAGCAGTGTAAGCCTCTCTACTCTTCTGTGGAACCCTGTGGTTGAACGTGTTCAGAGTATTTTGGGGGGAACTTGGGGTTTCACGCTTGTTCACATAGCACACCACTGATGTCCTTCGTAGTCGTCTTCATTCTATGTGCTATATTTGGTGCCAATTCTTCTGGTGAGCATCACTAGGGCCTGAGTGTCCTGCTTGGTTACACTCTTCCAGGCCCTGGTAACTTCCCTGAGTGTCTGCATTGAGGCTCATCATGGATTGAACCTTCAGATCCCACACTCACTATTTGAGAGTTTGAAGGGTGTGCATTGGCTTTCCTATGTGCCAACAATCATTCTATCTCTCCCACATCTCTTCCCGGTGCCAGCGAGAAACAAAAATGGGCAGAGTTTCTTTCACCCTGATGTCCCTGTTGCCTAGCAGTAAATAGGTATCTGGGGGTTAGACAGCTGTTATGGGCTGCTTCATGAAGCCCATAACCCCCCCTCCTTCCTGAAGGGGTGGGGGGGGGGCGGAGACATTAGTAACAGTTGATTGACAGTTGAGAGGTGGGCTAAAAGAGAAGAGCTCAACCCCTGCAAGCACAACTAGGTGAATACATGCTGCCTGCTGTGTCAGTTATCTTGAGATGATTTCAGGGCTTAGCATCCCCGCGGCCCGGGCTTCGACCAGGCCTCCTTTTTATTACACACCCCCAGGAAGCAGCCCGTAGCAGCTGTAACTCCCAGGTACCTATTTACTGCTAAGTAACAGGGGTATCAAGTGAAAGAAACTCTGCCCATTTGTTTCTGCCTCCACCGGGGATCGAACCTAGATCCTTAGGACTACGAATCTGAAGCGCTGTCCAATCAGCTATCTGGCCCCCCTCATCTCTGACAGACCAGGGTCTGCGACACCTTCCACATTGAGTCCAGTGGAATTAGAGTTTGTTGTTTCTTTATACAGTCCTATCTGAACCCACCTCAAGACAGGATACTTATCAGGCAGCAGCCGCTTTGACGGATTATTTCTCTCACATTCATGGTTTGTTGCTGGAGGCTCGAATATAGGTACCAGAGTTGGCCCCTATATTGTTTAGGGCCCCTTCTTTAGAGGAGCTGACGAATTCCACCTGCACTAAGTTCCCCCCCTTCCTCTTTTCCCTGCAGTTGTGGTGCACCCACCATCTGGTCTTCCCATTCCTGGTTCAGGCTCTGAAGCATCTGTGGGATTCAGAATCTGGTAAGGGGTCTAGTTTTGGGTGTAGCTTTGCCACCTCCGAGGGGCTGCCCGTCCATTTATACTGCATGGTGGATGGCATGGAGACATGAAGAATGCTCCAAATCTTCCCACCAAAGATTTGAAACCTACTTAACAGGGGGTTTTGGTTTGCTCTAAAATGTTCTATGGGACAATGCCCTTTTGTTTCTGGCATAGGACATGGTTCTGCCAAGTGGTCATCATGACTGACCCCCAGGTCTGTTGGTGAGCTGGAGGAAGATCTGAAGGGCACTCCAACCCTTCTTGGACTTTGGTTCCATATGCAGAGGATACAGTATTTTGCTCTAATTGGATGGACTTTTCCTATTCCTTCTCCACTATCTCTGACTACTTTGCCGTTTCCCCCCAGGTGTACTCCCATGTTTCATTTGGTTTCACCGAAATATTTTATTTCTAGTGGTTTCCGTCATCGAACCATTTGCCTATCATGGGCAGACATTTTTCGGTTACTCCTGCAGGATCAGAACTTTGCTTCCCTTATGGACCAAGCCTCTTCTGTCTTTTGGTTTTAGTACAATGTCCCAACTTGTCTTCACTGGCTTCACTGGAAACCCTTCTTTCCTCAAGGGCTTGACACAACTTTTTCACAAGCCCAGATGCTCTAATGGTGGCAGGCAAGTTCCAACTTTCAAGTGTTCTTGAGCAGTGCTTCTTTTGTGGCCCTTTAGAACTGCTTGTTTGCTGTAGTGATCCCCAAAGAACATTAGATTGTGGTAACTCAAAGTCCAGCTGCCTGTGCTTTCTGGCACACTTTGGAGGATCACAGGACTCGTACTCACTTGACGGCCATTTTGCAAGACTGGGCAGTTATCGAGCTGTTCTCTGACTGGCTCCAGTGCTGCCTAGATGCACTGACATCCATTCCCAGTGTGGCTGCCTTGTTGCCTGTGGTGCCAACTATGGCAGCACTGCCCAAGTTGCTTGTCTTATCTTTTCGTTACGTTACACTCTTTCAATACCCATGGTGAGATTCCATCTGGGCCAACAGCCTTTCTCACGTCCAGATCCAACAGATGCCTCTTGACCTCATCTGTTTTAATTTCGAACCCTTCCAAGGCCACCTGGTTTACTGCCACCTTTTCTAGCGACACCTCTGTCATTCTCTGTGTACCTGTCTTCACCCGTTCTAAGTTTCATCACCTGTTCTGTCACTGTTTTCCTCCTGACGTGTTCGTGGAATAGTTTTGGTTCGGTCTTGGCTTTATTAGCTATATCATTTTCATACTTTTTCTCAGCTTCTCTTCTGACACTAACATACTAGTTCCTGGTTCCTCTCTCTGCTTTTTGGCGTTCTGTTATTTCGGAAGTTCCTCCACGCCCTCTTGTTCATTTCCTTTGGTTTTATACATGCCCTATTAAACCACAGATTCTTCTTTTGCTTCTATTTTTTTTTCCTGTCGGGCTGGGATAAACCTGTTTACTGCCTCCTGACACTTTTGGGTGACATAGCCCATCATGTCTTGTACGGACTTCGTTCTGAATTCTGTCCCCAATGGTATATTCCTTAGGAATTTTCTCATCCCCTCATAATTTCCATTTCGGTATGCCAGCTCTTTGTTTCCCAGTTCTTTTTATGGGAAGATAATTCCTACCTCTACCAGGTACTCAAAAGATCAATACACTGTGATCACTCATTCCCAAGGGGGCTTCCAACTTAACTTCCCGTATATCCGACTCATTTAGGGGAAATATCAGATCAAGCATAGCCGATTCATCCTCTCCTCTCATTCTTGTCAGCCCCTTGATGTGTTGGCTTAGAAAGTTTCTTGTTGCCACGTCCAGCAGCTTAGCTCTTCATGTGTCCGGTCCTCCATGTGGGTCTCTGTTCTCCCAATCTATCTTCCCGTGGTTGAAGTCATGTGTGTGTGTGTGTGTGTGTGTGTGTGCAATGGTGGCTTGTTACTTGGCCCCTCCTAAGTTTCAGCATGTTGTGCTGGCCCAGTCTTTAGATTCATATGATTCTTTTCCCTTTTGTCTGCCAAACTCATTTTTGCCTGTCTTTCCTGAAAATGCCATATCTGCTGTCCTTTCAGCCACTGCTGTGGTTTTTTGGCGGCACGCTCGGGTTCTGCAGAGGGGTTTTGTTCCCTCTGCTTGGAGGCAGTCCAGCAAGGTTTAGAGCCTCACTTGCTATTGGGAAGTCTAGCTGGAAAGTTTCCTGGGACAAATGTGTATGATTCATTAAGCCTTAACATACACCATAATTAGAGAGGTCAAATATTCACACAAGACTTACATTCCAGACATCTTGGTTGGGAACTGACTTAGCCAATCACTGTGGTACTAGACCCTCTCATTATTATTTAAAATTAATTATACAGTATTATACAAGTTTTATTTTTGACACTGAATGTTATTGATACAGTAAACCATGTTGCATTTATGAACATTGTTTATTATGTAGAGAATTCAATAGTATGACCAATACAAATACGCCAACCCACGCATGTGAAATGAGGTACAAGTGATGACATTTCAGTCTGTTTTGAACCCTCATATTACTCGCCTTGACTCTTACATTACAGTATCGGGATGCAGGATGACCCGAAATGTCATTTTCATTTCAAATGTGTGGGTCAGATTATTGTTTATGTATTGTCACTCATATCTGCACACAGAAAAATCCCTCCTTTTGCTGGGATGTCATTGACAATTTACATATTGTACCCTCATTTTAGTACTGCACCTCTAAAGTGTACTAATAACGTACAGAGTTTTTTTAAGTCAGACAAACTAGCCAAGAAGTACAAGTATACTACAGTGTAATTCAAAACAAAAATATTTTAATTGAAGATTTCCAAAACATAGCATCTTAACACTTCTCTACTAGGAGATTTGAATAATGACGAAACTTAAGTATTGCACGCTTAAAAGACATGCCAAGGAGATTTTAATATATTGTTGTAAAAAAAAATCAAGCCATTAAACAAAAATTAAAAAGTTAAAAATCATAAGGCGTCCTCCTAATGGAGGATAGCTAATGACAACCAACAAAATATCATCTTAAATGTATTTTTACGAAACTTACCTTTCCTTTGACACTCAGAGATACATCATCAAAGTTGCCACCACGCTGAAGGAACTTTTGTAGGACATCAAAACCCTCCTTCCAGTGCTTGTCACTTGCCTCCATCAGAAACTTGGACATACCAGGACGCTCTATATACTGACTTCCATATTGCTTGCTCTGCAGGAGTATACAATATAATTAGAAGACAGTACAGTCATGACAAAGGCATTGAAAAAGCTCAAGTCACCGAAGTTAATCGTAATGAATTAAAAAACATCCATGTATGAAAACAAACTTCAGTATGTGTGGTTTTCTTATGCTGAAGTACTGGCTAAATTCTTATGCATTTACAACTTTTGAATTTTTTTTTTACAAACCACAGCAACTGTAGTTAGTGAAACATGGCATATACTATGGTATCATGGATCTATCTACTGATCAAGTTATCACTAGTTTGGCTCCAGACCAGGGTTGCAGAGTAGAGGAACTCTTGCACCCAACTAAGGTAAATTACAGGTATAGCATCAAATACCTTATTTCCAGAGATTATTAACTTTCAGATAGGGTCTGGTTCCAATTATTCTAGATAATCAAGGCTGCACATACATTCCAATTTAAAAATATTGTTTACAGTTTTAGCACAGTTCAACACTGACATTTGTCTAATAGCCAATAAAAGTTGTAATTGTTAAAGCCAACTTGACTGTTTTATTAGTGATTTATTAAAGGATTGAGGTAAAATGTAATTAAATTAACAAAGAAAGCCTCAATGTTACAATTGCTTGTATTAAAAACTTTATTACAACTTACAGAAAACAGATAACTGAGTGAATAGTCAAAATTGGTTTCCATGAGTTCCATCAGCAGCTTTGTGTGATTAGCTATGAATGGAGACCGAATATCTGAAATATAGAAAAATATAAATATGTAAATTGTATAGTAAAACATTTGTACCTACTAGTGAAGATTAAACATTAACCTTCATGCAATATCAGTAAAAACATTTAATTTTTTTTTAAATAAGTATGGACTATCTGCCTCATTAATCATGTATATTTACATTAATTTTATGCATGGGTCATCACCTTTAGTGGACTCAACATTAATTATTATTATTATTAATTATAATAAGAAAAAATTGTGTCTTGGTAGAACAGTCGAGTTCATTCTTTATTGTCTGAAATCCTGGGTTCAAATCCCCAAACGGGACAGAAATAGTGGCACACATTTCCTATCGCCTAATGCCTTTGTTCATTTAGCAGTAAATAGGTACCCCAGGATTAAATCAACTGTTGTTGAATGGCAGCCTTAGGAGGACCTTTATGTAAGCCTTTACATACATACACAGGCTGCCTGTCCCCAACCAACCAAACATTTTCAACAATTGTTTCAGCTTTATCATCATCACATACAAAGCAACCAAAATTTTAGTTTTACTATTGTTATTTTTTAACAAATCCAACACGAGTCTTTATTATGGTTCGAACTTATGCACTGGGTGTTCCAGGCACACACTAGTCGACTGCACCACGACATGGTTAAAAGAATTGCAACCTGGAGTACTACTACTGCACCCCAGTTTGTGTGGAATCCCAGTCAGGCTTCAGTGGACACCTTGGGATACTTGTGGGTGCAGTAGTACTCCAGGTTGCAATTATTTTGACCATGTAATGGTGTAGTAGACTAGTGTGCCTGGGAACACCCAGCGAATAGGTTCGAACTCTCATCAAGGCTCCTGTTGGATTTGCTCATTGATATATCACATTGTAATGCGATTTCTCTGTGTATTGTTATTATTGCTATTGTAACATTGTTGTAATTACATTGTAACATGAATGGCTAAAAAAATGCTGAATAAACTGAAAACCAAATCCATATTTCAGTCTTCATAGGAATTGTTGGTTGTAGCAATATGAGCCAATAGCCAATTCTACTTAAGGCTGGGCATGGGGATCGACCCTGAATTCCCTATGCCCTTTTCAAACAAAGCCTTTCTTTTAATAGATATAGACTAGGAGTACTCAGCTGCATCTGAGGCCTCACTCCTGCCACCTCCCCCACTCCTCTTCTCCACTTTCTCCATCTTTATCCCCCCCCCCCCGTAAGAAAATATAATGCTGAATTCATGTTTGTTAAAATCCAAGGACTCTACTAGCCACCTTTCACTGATTACGTCAGGGTGGTCACTACTAGGCCCAATTCTCCTCTTAATGTGACAAAATGGGGGCGCACCAGAGACTTGCACAATTCAATGACTACTTTCTTTCAAGTCAAAGGTATGCTTGATTGTCCCTAAGAGTTTAATTCTAGGGTTAAGGGTTTGGTTAGCTTTTTTTTTTTTTTACTGCCGCTCCCACGTGTGAAAAATTCAGTGAATAGTGGATTCTGACTCCAAGGTCCTTCATCAATCTGCTGCAAGGTAATGTTAATTAGTTGTAATGTGGATCGTTATGCCCCCACATGCAAGGTCTTAAATTTGTATATATTACAAAGCATTTACTAGTCGTCTGACCATTTGTGGAATTCATTCTCTTTCTATGGTCTCTTATCATTTTCACTTCCCACTTTACCATAAATCTTAAGTGTCATCTGCAAATTAGATGAGAATATTACAAATCACATCAAAGTCATTGATGTACTTGACAGAAAGGGTTGGCCCCAAAATGGACCCTTGCGGTACTCTACTTACCAACATTTCTCCAGTCAAGATTCCTTCCCGCTTAGCACGACCATTTGTTTCAACCATTGTTTTATCCATTTTAGTGTTCTATCATGTATTCCATGTGCCTGTGATTTCCTTTCTGGTCTTTTATGTGGCACCTTAGCAAAATTCATGTAAACTACAACTACTGGAACTTCTTTCTCCGATAGCTGGTTACCGTTTTCAACAAAAAATATGAGCAGGTGTGAAAGGCACGATATATTTGTAACATACCCATGTTGCATTGATTTTACAAGATTCACCGAGATGGTGAATCATTCCCCCAATTAGAATTCTCTCTCCAAGAGCTTGCAGGTATGATGTCAAGCTGATCGGACGGTAGTTTTCTGCCTTTTTTTAATAGGTGTGACATTTGCACAGTTCCAATCAAAGGTAACTATCTATTGGTCAAGAAAAGGTCCAGATCCAAGTTCTGAAAAGGAGTTTCCAACCAGTCTTCAACTCGAGTCGATTCCATCCACCGGTCGACCCCAAAGACGCATTCATCAATTTTAACATGCAGTTCATTCAATACAGAACTTCTCAAATATAAATTAATATTATTATATAGTGGCATAATGTGCATATGTAGGAACTGGTTAGGTTAGGTGTTTAGGTTCTGTTGCCGATTATTTGTTTTTGTAGTTTTTGTATTACTCACATTTGTGTAAGTAATGGGATGTTGTCTAATCTTTCTATTGTGAACGCTGACGTAAAGTATTCAGAGTGTTTACTGCTCTTCTATTATCCATTATAACCTGGTTAGTGTGAAGATGTTGCCTCCATCACCTGAGCAATGTGCCGCAACTTCTTATTATATATAATAGTACAAAATATAATAGTACAAAATAGTTGTATATATACCTGTCTTGGGCAAGAGTGGTCGTGTGGGTTGGATCTCTACACTACACACCACCACAGATGTCAAGAGAAGGGCACACACGGTAGCAAGTAACAGATGCATCTGTAAATTGCATATTTTTGGGTCATTTTACAGAATATTTTGTAGGATACAATATTATATAGTCATTCATTAAAAATAAAACAAAAGTTGAAACAAAAGATACAACTCGTCTTGCTAATAGAGCATTGCATTTTGATGTATACTGCAAGAGCAACAATTGTTATATTAGAAAACTAAATTGACATGCTATACTGTCCCGTTTTCTGTTTGAAGTCTTCTGGTAGGTTAGGATATGGGTATTTTAGTACGACAGTCTCTTGACCTTTTTGAAACCTTAGTAGGTCGGGCTATATTAGTGGGGGGGCCTCGTCTCCTTTCACCTGATGCCTCTGTTCACCTAGCAGTTAACAGGTGTATGCCTGGGAGTTTGGCAATTGTGGTTGCATCCTGGGGAAGGTCAGTACAGTATAGTTGGCTTAGGGAGGAGTTGCCTCTATACGGCTAGGTATACGGGCTCCCTGTCCCAGACAAGTGGAATTATTATTCAATTATGTCTATGCTGCCACACCAGATAAAGAAGACAATATAAGAATTAATAATTAAGTATTTTCCCCCCACCTTATAAGTTAGGCTCCTAATTTGTTAAACTGATGTTGCTCAAAATTATTGAAAACTCTACTGTAGGAAGCTTGACAATGACAATTTTATTTACCTACCAGAAATCTTAGCCAAATGTTCCCCAGTTTGCTAAATGTCGGTAGTAAACTAAGCGTTCGTAAGCTATCCACCGCTGCCCACTAGATTGAGGGCGGGGGGGGGGGGGGGGGGGGAAGGGTGTACAGGAGAAACTTAAACTATGACTAACTCTCCACATATGTCAGTTGCTTAATTTAGAAACAACTTGTAGTCGGTCTCCAGCCCATTGTTGATGTGACGGTTTATATTGAATTTTGTAACTAGTTCATCAAGATTGTAACTTGCTTAGCTAAATGAATTGTGGGGTTCCCTGAGCCCATTATGTGTCTCTGTAACCCTTAATTCCACTACCGCCCAGAAGATGGGTATGAGGTGTATAATAAATGAACTAAACTAACTCCCAATTACCGAGCAAATACAGCCTAACCCCGTCGAGCGAGAGAGAATTAGTTAGCGAGAGCACTTGTTAGCTAATATCTTAGCCAGTAATCTAAGTTAGCCCCTATCATACACTTGACCTTTCCTGCCCTTGTTTCTTGCCGACCAAATTCCAAAAATCTATTACTCAAATATTTGTCAATTACCGTTATAAATCAATAAATATTAATAACTATTCGCTAGTTTTGGCGTTCATTTTAAACCCTGTTAAAACAATTTATTAAAAAACTATTAAACAAAACTATTTGGTCCATCGAGGTTCCCTCTCTCCGCCCTGAGTCTTGACCGACCACGGACCTGTGTTCACAGTCAAATAGGGACTCTGGATCGAGTTTGTCAAACATTGCGGGTTGCATCCTGACACAACCAGAAGAGTTGGTATAGTTGGCCCATTGAAAGCTCAACAAACCTAATTACAGGCTTACTGTCCCAAGTTTTTTCCGAGCCTACTGAAAAAAAAAATTTTCCGTTTATTAGGCACCCCCATTCCTGTGTTGTGGGTGGTAGTATTGAAAAGCTCAACGTATATCTACAATGGGTTTGAGAACGACCAAAAGAGGATCTGTAGTGGATCAAGTTGGATCCTCTCTTTCTCTCTACTCTCAAACGGGTTTCTCGGGAGGGACAGAAATGATTGGGCAACTTTCCCATTACCTCTGTTCAACCTAGCAGTGACTAGGTACCCTGGCAGTTAATCCCACAACAGTTGACTGCATCCTGGGGAGGGTCAGTAGTTCGACCTTGGGAGATGGAGGGTACGACCTCGATACAAGTCTAACCTACATCTACATTATATATACACGGGCTGCCTGTTTCCGACAAAATTAATTACGAGTATACAGTCTCTCACGCTAAGAGAATCACGCGAATAACAGAATAAGTAAATAAATTGATGAAATTTGCATATATAGATATACTAACTCGTTAAAAATAGATCGCACGCAGCTAAAAGCAGTCTTTACCATTATATAAATTAGTAAAGCGTATACCCACCTTGGTGGCCATCACGGAGCTGGGGATGTGCGAGGTAGCTAGGCTTGCGAGTATTGGGAACGAGACGCCTTGAGTGCCGGCCAACCTGTGGTCAAAGCTGTCAAGTGATAAGTCTCCACAGATCGATCTTCAAGTGGATATCAGGATGATAAAAAAGAGAGGAAGCGATAAGAAAGATACTGTCAGCGTAACTGTGAAGCCAGATCACTGCGGCACTACACTGAGTGCGCTACAGTGGGGCTGGCTGATGGCGAGGAGGTACTGAGCCCCGCTTGACTGTGTGGCCCTCTGGCTGCCCCCTTCTGCCTCCACGCACACACGCACTCACTCACTCACACTCACACGCACGCACTCACATCCTATACATGGGCGCCCTCTCCCTCCCCCCCAGCGCATGGGATTGCGTTCTAGTTGGATTTGTTTATTATGCACCCCATACCTATCTTGTCATAGGTCCAGTGAACACTGCATGGGTTTGGGGGCCCTATATACCTTTCACCACCGCCCACTGGGTGTAACATTTGGGGGCGGTGGGTCTTATATCATGTGAGGTACACCCTCGCATGATATAAGAACATCAATCAATTGTTAATAGCTCTTAGATATAAATTGACTGGCTTAAAATCAATTTGGGGGTCCGGTTCAAGACTTTGGTGCGACTGTATGACCTTCCTGCCAACACTGTGGCATGGGGGGTTTTAACAAACCAAATTATTCCATTAAAGACCCATTTGGAGGTTTATGTTTATATCACTTAATTAGGATAACTATACGAGAACAAAAAGAACACAACACGAGATCAAAGATATCCGATTCACCAGAGATACTCATTTACCTCGAGGCCACTAACCCTATAGTGGCCTTGAAGAGGACAGCAAGCCGGCGGCTTGTCGAAGGTTTCCCCCATCTATCTACACCCCCCCCCCTACCATTCAACCCCCCATTCTACCGAGGGCCAAGTCACCCCCGAGGGACACTGAAAGCAAGATATCCGATCATTCCAAACATCAGGACGTTCACCCAAGACGTCCACGATTGAGAATACAGTTTGGACAAAAAGGGAACTATCAGGGGGAAAGCGCTAAGCCACAACGACTATACAACACTTGGAAGGGATAAGGATATGGGATGGGACGGGGGTAGGAAAGGAATGGTGCCAAACCACTTGAACGCCGACCTGTATGAAGCGAGACCGTCGCTCTACCGTCCAGCCCAAGTGATTGTCTGGATAAAAAGGACCAAGAAGTCGTTCAACTATGCGACTCGAGTGAAGCAGGTGTGAACGACACCTCACTTGCGAGCCGAGAACGTAGACCACATAGCTACAGGACCCACTGACAAGCTCCACCAGTACGTCACAGCATGCTCCTGCAACCACTCTATTCACCTAGTTGTGCTTACGGAGGTTGAGCTCTGGCTCTTTGGTCCCGCTTCTCAAATTTCAATCAACTGATGTACAGATTCCTGAGCCTACTGGGCTCTATCATATCTTCATTTGAAACTGTATAGTCAGCCTCCACCACATCACTGCCTAATGCATTCATCTGTTAACTACTCTGACACTACAAAAAAATCTTTCTAGTGTCTCTGTGGCTCATTTGGGTACTAAGCTTCCACCTATGTCCCCTTTGTTCGCGTTCTACCCGTGCTAAAGTTAAAGTTCAAGTATGTTTATTGACAAGAAAGAAACACATCTCAAAGGGATAGAGTAGCTTAGGCTAAATAGTTTGTCTTTGTCCACCCCTGTTAATTCTCATGAGAATTTTGTAGGTGGTGATCACGTTTCCCGTTTCTCTTGTGTCTTCCGGGGACGTACGCGAGGTTTAGCTCCCATAGCCTTTCCTTGTAGCTCATACCTCTCAGCTCTGGGACAAGTCTAACCATTACTAGTCTACTAGCAATTACTAGTCAGTAGGCGAGGAGTCACAATAACGTGGCTAAAGTAAGTTGACCAGACCACACACTAGAAGGTGAAGGGACGACGACGTTTCGGTCCGTCCTGGACCATTCTCAAGTCGATTGTGAGAATAGTCTACTAGTCAGTAGACTATCCACTAGTCTAGGGACTAGTCCCTATACCTCCGAATCTACTGTACATTTGCAAGGGAGCTACAGAGTAAAGGATGAATCATCTACGCTGCTAAACGGAAATAAACCGTGTGATCTAGGGAGGATATGTTACTCGCTCCACCATTGGTCCCCGACCAACCAATGAGCAGTGCCGTAGAACGAGAACACAATATACCCTCATCCTGTGTCGCCCACCACCACCACGCTCTACAACCGGTTGCGATACAAGCCGCCGGCTTCCTGTCCTCGGGTCAATTCAGGTAAATATGGTGTCCTCATTGAAGCACAACGAGCGTATGATATGTTCCCGAGGGTTCCAGGAATTAAATAATTGCACATTCGAACATAGTCTTACCAGTACATCCACCGTTGGGTACTATGCCCAATTGTTACACCACCTACACCCATTGGGCACAATACCTCATTAGTGGTGTTATTCCAACGTTGAATAAACGATAATTCAACGTCACGTTGATCTTTGATAACGAGTCCTCTCAGCACTAGCCACAGACAACGCCACCATTCACACAGCACAGGAACATGGCCCAGAAAGGCCAACAATTTTATTTTAGTTCATTTAATATGAACCCCCATACCTATCCTGGTAGTGAACCCCCCCCCCATACCCATCCTGCGAGCGCTAGTCGACCCCCCATACCCATCCTGCAAGCGCTAGTCGACCCCCCATACCCATCCTGCGAGCGCTAGTCGACCCCCCATACCCATCCTGCGAGCGCTAGTCGACCCCCATACCCATCCTGAGAGGGCTAGTCGACCCCCCATACCCATCCTGAGAGCGCTAGTCGACCCCCATACCCATCCTGAGAGCGCTAGTCGACCCCCATACCCATCCTGAGAGCGCTAGTCGACCCCCATACCCATCCTGAGAGCGCTAGTCGACCCCCATACCCATCCTGAGAGCGCTAGTCGACCCCCATACCCATCCTGAGAGCGCTAGTCGACCCCCATACCCATCCTGAGAGCGCTAGTCGACCCCCATACCCATCCTGAGAGCGCTAGTCGACCCCCATACCCATCCTGAGAGCGCTAGTCGACCCCCATACCCATCCTGAGAGCGCTAGTCGACCCCCATACCCATCCTGAGAGCGCTAGTCGACCCCCATACCCATCCTGAGAGCGCTAGTCGACCCCCATACCCATCCTGAGAGCGCTAGTCGACCCCCATACCCATCCTGAGAGCGCTAGTCGACCCCCATACCCATCCTGCGAGCGCTAGTCGACCCCCATACCCATCCTGCGAGCGCTAGTCGACCCCCATACCCATCCTGCGAGCGCTAGTCGACCCCCATACCCATCCTGCGAGCGCTAGTCGACCCCCATACCCATCCTGCGAGCGCTAGTCGACCCCCATACCCATCCTGCGAGCGCTAGTCGACCCCCATACCCATCCTGCGAGCGCTAGTCGACCCCCATACCCATCCTGCGAGCGCTAGTCGAACCCCATACCCATCCTGAGAGCGCTAGTCGACCCCCATACCCATCCTGAGAGCGCTAGTCGACCCCCATACCCATCCTGAGAGCGCTAGTCGACCCCCATACCCATCCTGAGAGCGCTAGTCGACCCCATACCCATCCTGAGAGCGCTAGTCGACCCCCATACCCATCCTGAGAGCGCTAGTCGACCCCCATACCCATCCTGAGAGCGCTAGTCGACCCCCATACCCATCCTGAGAGCGCTAGTCGACCCCCATACCCATCCTGAGAGCGCTAGTCGACCCCCATACCCATCCTGAGAGCGCTAGTCGACCCCCATACCCATCCTGAGAGCGCTAGTCGACCCCCATACCCATCCTGAGAGCGCTAGTCGACCCCCATACCCATCCTGAGAGCGCTAGTCGACTCCCATACCCATCCTGAGAGCGCTAGTCGACCCCCATACCCATCCTGAGAGCGCTAGTCGACCCCCATACCCATCCTGAGAGCGCTAGTCGACCCCCATACCCATCCTGAGAGCGCTAGTCGACCCCCATACCCATCCTGAGAGCGTTTATAGAGACATAACAGTCTCAGGAACCCAAAATATTTATTTTAGCTAAGCAAAACACTGCATTGATAAACTATATAGATAGAAAGTTTATTTACATACCAGGAGGAGGCTTGGTCGACGACCGGGCCGCGGGGTCGCAAAGCCCCGAAATCACCTCAAGGTATACCGTATGTATCAGCAGTATTCACAGGTTCGTTTAATGTAGTAAAGATAAAGTTACAATCACGTAAGGTGCAGGAACTGGACCACAATATGATAAGGAATTTACATTTGTAGTGAACAAGTTGCCATTTTTAATTTGTCAGAAATTTGTAGCATGTTAGAAGATCACTCATGTTTTCCCTAACCAAAAGCTTCATACATAAATGGTTGTACATTTAGAACTGGGCCAAGTTATATAGAATTACAGTATTAATTACACAAGAGAAAGGCACATGGACATTATTATATGCTATATAACTACGATAACAGTTGGTGCCCTTGATAAGCTATATCATGTTGAACATAGTTTCGGCTTTTCAAATTGAAGCTTAAAAAACAATAATTAAACGAGACTCTTCGAAGAAAACAAAGAAAAACAAGTGCAAATAGGAACAAAAAGTTCCACTGTATCACACTGAAATGTGTGACACTAAACACTCGTTTGGAGCAAGAAACAAAGTCGGTGTAGAGTGACACATGTTTCCGCAGCTCTAATATGACTTGGTTGACGCGTATGTGTGCGCGTGTGCGCGCTCGCATGGAAACAGAAGGCGCCTTCACCTTGTCAGCGCCGTCGATAAACCTCCATAGCAACAGTCCTACTAACGAACAGACGAGAACAAGAGTGTACAGAATACCGGTGTCTACGTCATAAGAGTATCAGACAAGCGAGGGGTGACTTCCTCCCGCCCCCATAAAGCAGACATACGCAAATACAAAGCATTAGATAGATTCAAACTACAGTAATTATATCTCTGCCCGCCGGCTATGGCCACTCCAGTGTCTTGTTTACGAAACGAGGGACTCGTGTGATAACCAGCCTACTAGCTGATGAGTTCTGTAAGTGACGCAATTTTAGACTATAGACTTTGGGTACACAGTGGATGTGGACCTCGAGGCCATCACACTTCCATATATTGACCAGGGGGCCAGATTCACGAAGCAGTTACGCAAGTACTTACGAACGTGTACATCTTTCCTCAATCTTTGACGGCTTTGGT